TAGAAACCTAAACCTAACTCAACCTTAAACTTAAACCTAAACCAAACCTAAACCTAAACCTAAACCTAAACCTAAACCTAAACCTAAACCTAAACCTAAACCTAAACCTAAACCTAAACCTAAACCTAAACCTAAACCTAAACCTAAACCTAAACCTAAACCTAAAACTAAACCTAAACCTAAACCTAAACCTAAACCTAAACCTAAACCTAAACCTAAACCTAAACCTAAACCTAAACCTAAACCTAAACCTAAACCTAAACCTAAACCTAAACCTAAACCTAAACCTAAACCTATAAATACCTAAATTTAAACCTAATCTTAAACCTAAACCTAAACCTAAGAGAGAACCTAAACCTAAACCTAATCCTTGATTAACCTAAACCTAAACCTAAACCTAAAACCTAAACCTAAAACCTAAACCTAAACCTAAACCTAAACCTAAACCTAAACCTAAACCTAAACCTAAACCTAAACCTAAACCTAAACCTAAACCTAAACCTAAACCTAAACCTAAACCTAAACCTAAACCTAAACCTAAACCTAAACCTAAACCTAAACCTAAACCTAAACCTAAACCTAAACCTAAACCTAAACCTAAACCTAAACCTAAACCTAAACCTAAACAAAAACCTAAACCTAAACCTACACCTCAACCTAAACCTAAACCTAAACCTAAACCTAAACCTAAACCTAACCTAACCTAAACCTAAACCTAAACCTAAACCTAAACCTAAACCTAAACCTAAACCTAAACCTAAACCTAAACCTAAACCTAAACCTAAACCTAAACCTAAACCTAAACCTAAACCTAACCTAAACCTAACCTAAACCTAACCTAAACCTAACCTAAACCTAACCTAAACCTAACCTAAACCTAACCTAAACCTAACCTAAACCTAACCTAAACCTAACCTAAACCTAACCTAAACCTAACCTAACCTAAACCTAAACCTAACCTAAACCTAAACCTAAACCTAAACCTAAACCTAAACCTAAACCTAAACCTAAACTAAACCTAAACTAAACCTAAATATATCGCCTAAACCTAAACCTAAACCTAAACGACATCCTAAACCTAAACCTAAACCTAAACCTAAACCTAAACCTGACGCCTAACAACCTAATGTCCTAGTAGCCTAAACCTAAATTATTGATTCAAACCTAAACCTAAACCTAAACCTAAACCTAAACCTAAACCTAAACCTAAACCTAAACCTAAACTAAACCTAAACAGAGAATTGTTTTAACTATTTCAAACTATTGTAAACCTAAACCTAAACCTAAACCTAAACCTGACTTAATTTAAACCTAAACCTAAACCTAAACCTAAACCTGTTCTAAACCTAAACCTAAACCTAGACTAAATAAACCTATCACACAAAATATAAACCTAAACCTAAACTAAATGTAAACCTAAACCTAAACCTAAACCTAAACCTAAACCTAAACCTAAACCTAATCTCTAATAAACCTAATGTCTAAACCTAAACCTAAACAAAGCGCAAACAACGCGCGCTAAACCTAAACCTAAACCTAAACCTAAACCTAAACCTAAACCTAAACCTAAACCTAAACCTAAACCTAAACCGGAGGTTTCCTTATGCACACGGTGAACTATTATTGCTTCACTAGGGAAGAAATATAGCGCCGTGTTAATTTGCTGTAGCGACATCTAGTTTTATGGCATCACTACTTAGCGACGCCTCTAACAACTAGATGTCGCTAGTAGCTTTGACAGGAATTATTGTTAATTCATACCGTCACGCTAATTTGCATCGTCATCATCATCAATAGTCTTCTCATTAGTCCGCTTGTTGTGTAGGCGGGTGAAGTAGGGGCCTCGGGGTAAACCCCTCTATCCCGGCTTCAACTCCGGAGGCGACGACCTCCGGGTCACTGTGTTCTTGAGCCGACAGCTAGTTGCTACCTAGTGGCATCACTAATACAGAGAATTGTGTTAACTATTTCACTAATGTCGCTCTGTCAGTGACTTAATTTATGTATTGTATATGGTCGGAGCGACGGAGTGTAGGCTGTATGGCTTATCACACAAGCCTCCAGTGCATTCCCCTCGACAGATCCCATTTCATCGCCGAAGGATATAGAGGCCGCCTCTTTTAGAATAGAATAGAATAGAATAGAAATCATTTATTCAAATAAACTTACATTGAAGCACTTTTGAAAAGTCATTACATTTTTTTTAATCTACCGCTCGTTCGGAAAGCTGTCTCATCACAAGAAGAACGAGCAAGAAACTTGCGTGTTGCTCTTTTAAATAATTTTATTATTACTTTACATTTTTAAGTTTAATTGTGTGAATACAAACCACCGCTTTCACTATACAAGAGCGCATTCAACGCGCGCTCGAGGTGGCCACAAAAATTAAACACTCGACGTCTCGCCGTCAAGTTACATCACTACCTCACTTGTGTGATAAGCGCAAGAGAGAACTGCTCAAGTTCACGATCACTTTTTGCTGTATAATACTTACATTGTTGCACAATAATATTCTTATGATAATTCTATAGATAAATTAAATTATCCACATGTAAACGTGTGGGCTGACATAATTAATGGCTATTTCAACGGACCACATTTTGTGACAGGCCACTTAATGGGTGCAACTTATTTGGACGTGCTGCGTAACGTTATCCCAGACTTTCTAGACGACGTTCCGTTAGCGGTGCCGGTAGATAATCTGTTCTACCAACACGACGGTTGCTCGACTCATTACCAGAGTGCTGTGCAAGCGCACCTGAGTACTGTCTTTCCTGAGCGCTGGATCGGACGCGGCGGCCCAGTGCTTTGGCATGCAAGAAGCCCGGGTCTCATTCCACTAGACTTTTTCTTGTGGTCAGAGTTCAAACGCCTGGAGTATCTTGAGGAACACGAAACTCGCACCGCATTAATGAGTGCGATAGAGGATTTTTTATTAGTCATTTTTAATTCCTCATTCTCCCATCATTATCATTAACAAATGTTACAAACGCATTTATATTTATAGCTAATAAAAGCACTGAAAATATCTACCCGATATAGGAAATTGTAAATCTAAGATTTATATATTTTATTTTGTAAATGTGATGCATTGTAGCGTAAATCTTCAGAAAAAAAAAAACCTCATTAATAAAGACTTTTTTACAAAAAAAAATCATTATATTGTATATGTAACACGTAAAAAGTAATCAACCAAAATAAGAATAACTTTTTGTGTGTTTCTAGTCACGAAAGGTGTTGGAATCCAGAGCTGGCATAAGAGCTACCACTCCGTCCTCTGCTACGCTAACGCCATCTTTCCCGCGCGACTGCTCAGCTGACGATTTTATTCATAGAGAAATTAATGAATTTCTTTAATTAGTTTCATTTTTAAAATTATAAATCTGCAATTATTTAACTTTTAGTAAAAAAAAAAAAAAAAAGTGGTTTATTAATCGATTGTACCATCGAGATCAAATCTTTTCGCTGCGGATAATCAACCAGTTAAATTTCACGCTGTATATAAATTTTCAGTTTTTAAGTAGTTCTATGTGCTTACTTTTTCAATTGTTATATAATTGTGGAAGATGTTGTTAATAATATTGTAATAAAAGATTTGAAATGTATTAATAAACCTGAGTATCATTATCTCAGGTTGTTTTAATTGAGTGCTCCTGTATTGCTTGGACATTACAGCTACAAACAGAAATATTTAGTATTTGAATGTATCACACTAACAAATTAATCAATATCAATGGTTTACAATATACTAAACAATTGTAAGAAATTGTATTCACTTAAATGTTTAAATTGTATAAGAATAATAAGGTGTAAAAGAATATATGACTTCAGTATTTTTACTAGAACACATTATTAAATTAACTATTGCACAATGTTAAGGTTCAACATGATTATAAGTAAGTTAATTTATAATACTTAGTTATTACTAGAAAGTTGTAATAAAATAAATAGAATCAATAAATAAAGTTGTGAAACTATGAGCGAGTCCACGAGCGCGCATTTGATTTAACGGAAAAAGCATACGTGCACTCAAACATAGTTATAAGAGTATAAAAAAAAAAAAAAAAAAAAAAAAAGAAATCAACAACATTGGGTCCAATAGTGACCGAGACATTGTACAGTACTGATGTCTGAGAGCTATGAATATAAGTGTAATTGGAAAGTAACGAAAACGAAATGAATTGCTCAAAGAAGAAAACTATAATTTGTTACAAATGAATAAAGGATGAACCAAGACAAAACCAAATAACGTCAGTGATTCTGACATCATTATGCCAAAAATTAGGCAAAACACTACCTGCTTCGTTATATAGATTATGAAGAATTTTTGTTATTACCTAGGTAGGTACATTAAATTAATAAATTTTCTTTTTAATAAGTTTTTGTTAATTTTTCAGTAAATCCTAAAATAGTAGTCGCAGTAATGGACTCGCCATAATAGAAGCAAGCTACTTCAAGATCCGCAGAAATACATGCATTTAGATTACTTTTTAAATGCTTATTATTTAATGAAAATATTTATTTTTCTCACTGTTGATTATATTCTGGGTTAATAATGAGGCAAACTTTTGTTAAAAAATTAAATAAAAATAAAATAAAACCGCAGTAATATTCATATTTACCATATCAAATTGTTTAAAAAAAAAAATGAAAATCAATTTTATCAAGAATCCGAATTTTTTATTAGTCATTTTTAATTCCTCATTCTCCCATCATTATCATTAACAAATGTTACAAACGCATTTATATTTATAGCTAATAAAAGTACTGAAAATATCTGACGGCGCCTCTAGCGGATAATTTCGGAAACTCAGATTTATATATTTTATTTTGTAAATGTGATGCATTGTAGCGTAAATCTTCAGTAATAATACAAACTCGTATTAAAGAAAAAAAAATCATTATATTGTATATGTAACACTAGCCAAAGTAATCAACCACCAATTTTCCAATTATTAGATTTATTAATCAGTGGCGAAAGTGTTGGAATCCAGAGCTGGCATAAGAGCTACCACTGCGAAAAAACTTAATACGCTAACGCCATCTTTCCTTCCTTTGCTGCTTCTGTCATTTTTGGTTCGTGTGACAAATTAGGTGAATTTTTTAATTATTTGTTTTTAATATTAATATTAATCCAAAATAATGTGTAAAGTGCGTATTATAAAGTGGTTATTAATTACAGGTAAACAAAATGCAGAACGACGCCGGTGAATTCGTTGATCTGTACTGCCCAAGAAAATGGTGAGTTTTTTTAGGTTATGTGGCTTACACGTTTTTCAAGTAATATATCACAACATGTTGTTAATAATATTGTCTAATTAAATTCTACATGTATTTAGTTGTACTGATCATTATCTCACTAGTTAATAGTAGTCATTGTCATTATGTACAGTTTTATCTGCACATAATTGTTTATAACCTAGCTGTATCACAAATATATATAACTACTATTTAATATATATTTTTTTGGTTATGGTTAAACAAAAAAAAAAAATATATGTACACATTTGTCAACCGCTTAGTCTAAATATTCCCATATTTAATGAGAATAAAAGTGACCAGTGCACTATATTTGCATGTCTTACATACATAACACACTCAATTCCTATCGAAGAATTACAAACTAGAGAAACCAGGATATAAATAAAGGCCACTGACCCTTCATCTTTGTTTGTAACTTTGTGGTTTAACGGTTAACATAAGGATTTAATGCACTACCTTGCCATCTGTAAATAAAACTATTTCATAATTTGTATTCATGAATATCTTTATCGAGATACTTCCTTTCTATATTATCTTATTAATATCGTAAAAATAAAAAAAAATAGAAGTTATTCATTATAGACTATATTTATAAATTGACTTTATCCTAATTCACACAAGTAAAGCTGTGTGTACAGAGCTAATATATATATTTTCAATAAAAAAAAAAAAAAAATATGTACTGTCATAATAATGCCTATCAGTTGTCTGGTCTCACAGTACAGTCTTACAGTATTTTACAATACAGTATTTTGGACAGGACAAAAATTTCTCAGTTTTTTTCAGTATAATTTTTAGTTTACTATGGATGATGAAGGAATGATGCACCCATCTATTGTAACAGTATACAATGCCTGCCATTGGAGGATGACATATTGAAAAAAAAAAAATATAATGATAATCATAGAACTTCATTATTATGTAATTTATTTAATGTTAGTTTATGATTTACCAAACTATTGAGTTACTATACAATAAATGTAAAATAGCTTTATAAGTAATATCAAGAATTTAATAATGAGATTAATTTTTTTTTAAAATATATGTCTTAGAAATGGGACTGTTAGACCTAGTTTTCAACTCCCAAAGACAACCCGGGAGAATTTTATGTTTAAGAATTGTATTGAAAGAAAATTGTTAATTAATTTTTAAATTTATTTTGTTTTCAAGCAGCATCTAATGTTTACTTGTTTGTAGTACTTGTAACTCTGCTTTTACTAAAGACATATGCATTTGTTTCCTTTTCTTGCTCCATCATGCTGATGGAGCGTAACACGAGTGAGTAGTGAAGAGTAAATGATGAATGCATTTAATTTTTAGAAAAGCCTGAGATATTATTGCACTCCAGTTGGTCTAGAGTTTAACCATAATTACCGAAATCTTCTAGGCGATCCGGGAGGGTTGGCAACCCTAGTTAGACCCCTTGTTCTTCCTACCCTTTCGCCATTAGTAACAATATACTGCTACCAGTCTGTCTTCCATTATAAATAATTTACTTTGGAACTCCATAGTGATCTGCATGTTCCATTATTTATTTATTTATTTATTGATATATATGTAATCACATTGTATTGCAGCTCAGCGAGCAACCGTCTCATCCACGCTAAGGACCACGCGTCGGTGCAGCTGGTGATCGCGGACGTGGACCCGGCGACGGGCCGCGCGGCCGACACCTCCAAGATCTACGTGGTGTGCGGCGCCATCCGACGCATGGGCGAGTCCGACGACTGTATAGTGAGGCTCACCAAGAAGGATGGCATATTGACTAAGTGAGTGTTCAATATATCAATGGAGGTGGTCACCACATCAGCAGCTAGCACATAACCATTGTTTACTATTTCAATTTACATAAAATAACATGAAATGTTGCAACCTGTCAATACTAATGGTGAATATTGATACGGTAACAGGGCAGGGGAGGATGGAATCACATAGTTGATCCATAGAAGTAAATTCATCTAGAATTTACCATAATGATTTCTGGGATGAACCCCATGATAATTAATCTGATAAGATACGTAATGTTAGCAATGGCGCTATTAGACCCCATTACTAAAAAGCTCTCCTGCACTAAGTGCTGTAAAGCTTTTAATAAAATAAATATTTTGAGAGGCCAAAATTGGTCCTCTGAATATCTAAACCTGGTCCTCATAAATTGAATATCTAAACATTTCATTTTGTTACATGAAGTTAACTGTATTAATACAGTAATAATAGCATAAATTGTCATTATAAAAAAGGTATAATATTAAGACGATATGTGTGCTTTCCTTTCATATACGTGCGCGGCCTGCGCGCGCAAATATAGGTACATCAAACAAGCTGCGTGCGCGACCGACCGTATTAGCTTGTCTGCGTGTTTTTACAAAATAAATAAAATATATAATTTTATAAGTATGCTACAAAGTAACCTGTTACATTTTTTGTTTCAGGAACTACTGATATTCTTAGTCATGTAAGCATTATTTTATAAGAGAAAATAATAAAAAAAAAAAAAAAATCACAAAATTTACAACTTGTTTTATTTGTAAATAATTACGTAAATAAAATTCGAAAATATAATGGATTTGTAAACGTAAATAACGTCTGTATGTGTGGCTGCTGTCGTCCGTTCACATCGGTCGCAGTGCACCCAGCGGGTACGGCTACAATTTGATTACCACCCAGTGGTATTCAACGGACGCATCTGGAAACAATATTTCATTATAATTGAATATCTTTACAAATCCCTTACCGAACCCAAACTCACTAAACTTAGTTCTCCAGGAAGTTCATGAAATTCCCCATATCCAGTGTCATATATTAAAAACGATCCTACCCGGCTTCGCACAGGTAAATAGTATTTTCGAAAATATAGCCTATACTTTTACAGCGAGTTCGTTCGCGTGACTAGGAAAATAAAGTATCCTATGTCCTTTTCTATCCCATATTATTATAGTACACAGTAGTAATATACACTATCAGGTCGACCTCCACGTAGTCCCCCCTGGAAACTATCGTGCTGAATTCCAGGTGTATTCACGATGGGCTAATTGACCTGCCCTTTCATTCTCACCTGTCACTCCTCACTGGTGCCCCGTCAGCGTATACCGTTAGCGCAGGCGAGATTGCCATTCCATTGCCATCCATTGAAATATCCTTTAAACCGACAGTGCTATGCAAACAACTGCTTCACGGTTGGGAACAGAATGGGACAGAGGTACCTAAGCAAATGACTTTTGCACAAAGACTCCCTCTGGTAAGTAACCCCCGACCCCGTACGAGCAAACGCAGTGTCGGACTACCCCCACTTGATGGAATCATGACCTAAAATGCATTTCAGGAAATTCGGGACCATTCATTAATGCAGTAGCACTGGGCTTATGTCCAGCAGTGGACGGATAATGGAAAAGATTAGTATGTTACTCACTGATGACGTAGGTTTCTATAAGTGAAAGAATTTTCACAATCAATTCAAATCAAAATACACAGCGCCATCTGTTTCAATTGCAGTTAATTGAAACAGATGGCGGTGTATATAATTGTTTAGTAGTATGTGTTTATTATTTTGTAATACCTAGGCCAAAATTTGATCTGTTCGAGATACCATATGCGTCACATTTTATTCAATGTTCATGTCTGCAGCCAACGTGTTACCGCTTTCCATCAGGTGGACCGTCAGCTTGTTTATCAATACAAGTTGCAAAAAGGCAGGTTTCGTTGGTGTAGAGAGTGTGCCACGTGGACAATCTCGATAAAGGTGTAATTACCACATGCCGCGACCGCCGCAGCCGGGCCGGCCGCCGGGCGGCGGACGGCAGATAGTTTTCTTCTTGCAGCCGCGCGCCGCCGCCGCCAGGCACACCACGCACCACCACACCCACCACGCCGCCTGCGCCAGCTGGACCCACGAACGCGTAGTAGTTGGAATGATTATGCAAATAAATTTTTTTTATACAACTTAGAATGGCAAACAATCTGACGGCCCAACTGATGGAAATTGGTAACCGTCGCATATAGACATGAGCAGTAGCATGGACATAACAGAGTATACTGTTTCGCACATGATACCCCCCATGCGTTGCCATTCCCGAGGACTCGGGTGTTATTCCTCTGTACCCTGTAAATTCACGCCATATCCCACCCTTCAAACCGATACACAGCCATGCAAATACAACTGCTTCACGGTATAAACACGTGCCCAAGCAATCGACTTTTGTACAAAGTCATCCTCTGGTACATATATGCACATAATTCTATATTTTTATATAAAGTTCTCGGATACTATAATTAAGGAGTATCTTTTTGAATTATTGTCAACGAGATCCAAAATTTCTTGTTGTATGCATTTTATTTCTGTCAATTCTGAATCGTGTTATTTGTAATATTTTTTACCTAATGCGAGTGTCAAAGTTATGTCGTTCAGCGGTGTGTACTGTGTAGGTATATCGCCGCAGGTTGCGACTGAAAACGCTGTTTTTTGCGCCGAAAGTTGCTTATGTCGAAACAAATTGTATTTAAAGACAATTGACATAGGTCTAAGTACTAGGTAGTAAATAACTTCCTGTACTTAGATAAGTCTTTTTACTACCAACAATAATTATAATTAAAGGAGACAAAAATGAATAGTCAGTACAGTCTTAAGCTCCTTTTTTTTTTAATGGTTGATAATGAAATGATAACCCCGCCTGCGCTATCGCTATACACTGGCGAAGTATCAGTGGGAGATGATAGATGAGGATGAAAGCAGGTCAGTTAGCCCATCCTGACGAATTCAACTAGAATTAACCGCAATGATTTCCAGGAGGAACCACGTGGAGGTCGACCTGACAGCGTATATTGCTAGTAATGGGGCTATTTGACCCCCATTATTAACAATCCCTTTCCCCCTCCAATCTTAGGCTCTAGTAACACCCTGACGAGTGGGAGAAGAGTTTGTTAGCAATGGGATCTAACATCGAGTCGACCTCCACACAGTTCCAGCTGGAAACCATCATGGTTAATTCTTGTGAAATTCGTCACGATGGCCTTCGTCACTAGTGTCTCGATAGCAGAGGCGGGGTTACCATCCCATTCTCATCCATTAAAAAGAAGCATGCTCATGAGGAGATTGCTATCAAGTTTCTTTTCTCTTGCACTGCTCTATCATACAGTAGTACAGTAGTTTTCACGGTCTCATCTTAGGCCATCCTGCGGCTAATGACGAAAAATAGTATTAAATATCCTAATTTTTTGTTCTTTTTCCAATATTTCCTTTATACGCTACATACCGTTATCATTTCAAACCGCGAACCGTCGATTACGTCAAGCTGTGATATTGGGTGGAGCACGTGTGTACGCGAGCAGCGTCGAGCGGCCGTCACCAGTACTTGGGTTTGCAGCCGCCCGGACACCGCGGCGGTCGGCACGCACCCTTCCTATTCTTGCAGGCTATAGCACCGACTATCTGAAATGATCAATAATGCTGGCTGTGTCTCGCTCAGTTCGACGCGATGACGAGTCAAATGACTTCTCCCTCATTATTACAACCTCTACTGGCGCAATGCCATTAGAGTAGGCGCATGTACTATTCCATCTTCGTCCGCAGAAAAAAATAATCTGTCCCGCGACTTTGTTAAATTTCCCAGATATGTCTAACGTTTCACAAGAGCGGAAAATTATCCTTCTGTACCTAGTAAATTCACTGCTTCCACTCCCAGCATTCGAAATTGAACCAGTAAACAATAATAGAATGTATTTTTATACCGGAACATAGTCATGGTCAAAGGAATTGTTTATAATGATGCCCACGGCCACTTTCTACTATCGTACAGCTCGCCATCGACTAGGAGTCCACCCTCATACTTTAGAGCCTGCATGGTTGCGTACAGCGCGGTTTCAGAGATGCTTCCTTCCACGAACGCTTAGGTTATAGAATGAACTCCCTGTCGAACTTTTTTCAAGAGACTACAGCATCAGGTTCTTCTAAAAAGGGGTAAAGAGGTTTCTTTAGGGTCGGCAACGAGCGCGTAATGCTCCTGGTATTTCAGGCCCTCATAAGCTATAGTAACCGCTTACCATTAGATCGGCTGCATGTTTGTTTGCCATCATATTTTCTGAGATTTCAGTTACAGTTTCTTTTCTAGTTTTATTAAAATTGGCAAACAATCTGATACATAGACCACAGTAATATACAATTGTCGTTATTGTTAAGGGCTAAAATGTTATGTCTGCATCAAAGATTGCGTAAGTTCTCCTATTCAAATCCACACAGCTTCAAATCCTACTATCTATCCTATTTAAGAGCTGCACTCTTGTCGATGAAGCTCTTGCCACTCACACACACACACACACACGATTTGCAGCGAGTCTCTTCACCTCTTGATACGACACGACACTCCTTCCTTGATCTGCCTGATGTAACTATGTCTCGGTCTCCCTCTCCCCCTCCTTCCTTCTATCTTACCTTCTATTATAATGTTCATAAGTTCGTCGTGTCGTTTCAAGTGTCCCAACATTTTTCCCCTTCAAATCCTACATCTATACTAATCTTTTTTTCGAGTCATAAAAACGGTTTTGAATCACTATACCAGCGCTATCGATATACGCTGTCTGGGCACAACTTAGGAGTGACAGGTGAAAATGAAGTTAGGTCAGTCGAACCCGCACTAAAGTCAGGACACCAGGGGGGAAAGGAATTGTTAGTAATGCGGACTATTAGTCCCATTGCTAGCAATATACCCTATCAGGTCGACCACTACGTGGTCTCTCCTGGAACCACCGTGCTGAATTTCAGGTGTATTCATCACGATGGGCTAACTGACCTATCATCCCTCACTGGTGCCCCGCCAGCGTATACTGTTAGCGCAGGCGGGGTTACCATTCCATTATCATGCATTAGAAAAACATGTCAGGACACTCACCTGCACCAAGATACAGAATAGCCACCACATACGTGCCTTCGAATGCTTCATATTGTAAGTTTCCCGCGGTGTAGCACGCCGGGCGCCAGCTGCATATTGTTAGAATTCCATCACTAGTAATTTTGCCTGTGTCACGGCCGAAACTTCTTTTGTTCTATCTCTGACTGAATTGTCACGTGGCAGAGTTTTATTCGTCTACTAGCCAGATATTGTTGATATCTTGACGGTTCGGTAACTTGAAAGAAAAGGTTTTAATTTAATTTTAAAATTAATTATTAACGCTATCGTATAATATTGCGGCAATCAGTCAGCGGTCAAACAGCTCCTGGTCAACATCCAGGATTAAGAGGGCGTGTTGGAGTTTCAATACTGGCTGTTGACACTGAAGTTTTTTTAAAACAATGTATCATTTTTATGTTTGTTCTACGTCAGATTTTTATATGACATATATATATATATATATATATATATATATATATATATATATATATATATATATATATATATATATATATATATATATATATATATATATATATATATATATATATTATAAACTTATTTTTTATATCATAAATACTGTATATTATCATATATATATATATGTGTTATTACTGCATCCTGCTATTTACAACATAAATTACCTATTTCTATTGATATATAGATAGATATATAATTTATTTGCATTACTTACAGCATACAAATAACAACAGATATAGATACATACGTTAAAACAATAAAAGAATATATAAAAAAAAAATATACAAAAAAAAAGGAAAATTGAAAATATTGATTGAATGAAATGATAAAAAAAAATCTAGTCCTTTATGACATCTGCTTAAACGTTAACATCACTCGTGTTTCTGGTGCCCAACAATTGTAGTAGCAGTAGGTACAACTACGAGTACTGAGGTACTTTAGTTTTCAGGAATGGCAACGCAAGCGGAGTACCATAACATGGGTGTCACCATAGACTTGGTATTACGTAAATAAGGGTGTCATAGTGTATGATAACTATGGTGTTAGATATGTGTTTTTTTTTAATGGATGACGATGGAATAGTAAACCCGCCTGCGCTATCGCTAAACACTGGCGGGGCACTAGTGAGGGATGATAGGTGAGGATGAAAAGGCAGGTCAGTTAGCCCTACGTGATGAATACAGTTGGAATGCAGCTCGATAGTTTCCAGAGGGGGCCACGTGGAGGTCGACCTGGTTGGGTATATTACTAGCATGTGACCCTTAGTCTTCATTATTATTAATCCCCCCCCCCCCCGTTGGATATGTGTTTAGGTAATAGGCGATGCCACTTTATACTTTCACCACTGTATGTCATGTGGACCATAAGTATGTCTACCATATATTGGTATACAGCGTGTGTCCTATGAACCCGCGTAGTAAAAAAAAAATAGTAGCTACTTTAAAAAAGTTTGTTTAAAAAAGTTTGTTAAATGATCGAACCGGGAATCGTCAAGTAATATGCCTGCTACTGCGCCGCAGAGGGCTAAGGTTTAAATATGGTACTCTTTGCATGCTATCTCATAATGTACCAAAAAAATTATACTAGTTCAGAAACTGCTCCGTTCAGAATTATTTTTAATTCCGCTACCATTAGTATGTGTGTGAGAGCCAACACTAGAAGACCGACCACCACTATTACTACCAGAAGACCCACCACCTTCCATGTTAACCATCAATCTCCGACCGCCACTCCGTTCAAGTATGTTTTACTTTTAGTAGTCACTTAAAGAAATATAATGACGACTCGGACGTGCATCAATGAAACAAAACACTCATAATCGAAAGCGTATGTTATTAATGACAATTAAGTATATGTACAAGCGCCATCTGTGGGCGGGCAGCTGAATATCTGCGCGGCGAGGTAGCGCCGCAGCTGGCGCCAGGAGCGGCGGCAGAGCGCGCACAGCGACGGACCGCGGCCGCGCTCGCCGCCGGCAGGGGGCGCACGCCGCGGGCTCGCCTGCATCGCCTGCAGCCGCTTCGCTCGTGTGTACAACTGTTGATTGTTGTCCTTAGTTTTATTTAACATTGAACCACTATAGCATAGACTTTAACGAACACGTGTTAGTTTACCACCAGAGGGAGACTTTGTACAAAAGTCGTTTGCTTGGCCACCTCTGTCCCATTCGTGTTTCTACCGTAAAGCAGTTGTGTTCGCATGACTGTGTTTCGGTTTGAAGGGTGGGATATGGTAGTTAATTTACAGGGTACAGAGGAATAACACCTGAGTTCGGGGAAAAAGGGATTGTTATTAATGCGGACTACCAGTCCCATTGCTAACAATATACCCTATCAGGTCGACCTCCACGTGGTCCTCCTTGGAAATCGTGCTAAATTCTAGGTGTATGCATCGCGATGGGCTAAGTGACCTGTTTTCATCCTCACCTATCATCCCTCACTGGTGCCCCGCCAGCGTATACCAATAACGCAGGCGGGGTTACCATACCATTATCATCCATTAAAAAAATGATCTGGCGTAAACCGGATTATTCCAACGCGGCGTCTATGTGACAAGCGTGGGGAACCGTACGCACACAAGCTTCGATTGCTTGTAGTAATGTTCTTGTCACAACGTACTCCCTAGTATCTGGTTTCCTGTGTCCTGTGTTTGTGTAATACTTACATGAACAGGATCGTCGACATTGAACGTGCAGCGCGGGTCACTGCCACTCCCGTCTGAGCCATCACCGCTCGTTTCATACCCCACCACACTGCTGGTACAATTAGTAAGCGAAATACGCGAAGGTAGGTAGGAGTAGAAAGTACCTTCTGCTAAGTGTAAACGATTATACCGTCTCGTGTTACAGTCGTCAATATGTTTCGTGGTCATCATCGTACCCCGGATTACAGTTACCTTGTTGCTAGCCAAGTGGCTTGTTATAGTTTATTATTTCGAGTTTTTTTTTTCTCTTGCACTGATGCTGACCTCATGTTACCACTTACGACATCATCTAGGGATGAAATATCAAAGAGCCTATTTATTCTAAACAACTCCCTTTCACGGTAGAACACTTCAAGAGTAGATAGAAAGAAATCCAGTGACATCATAACTCATCTAATAATATACACGACAGTTCGGGAAACTTTTAGTATTTCAGCCGTTAACTGTCCACTGCTGGACATAAGCCTTCTCCATAAGAAGAGTTTTGCCAGTAGTTGCCACGCTTGGCGGGCGGGTTGGTAACCGCAGTTAGGCTTTTAGAGATGTTTTAAGAGGGACGCTGCTGCCCATCCCACGTCCTCCCTTTGTCACCTCTTACGACACCCACACGAAAGGAAGGGGTGGCCCGGGACCACACGGCGAGGCGGCAGAACCATACATTCCGATATAATACACGATTTATTTGATCATGACAAATCAATGTAGGATCAAATCAGGCCCCCTGCTACTTACATCCGTTCACTTTAAAACTGTCTCGATATATATATATATATTTATCATAATTACCTGTCCGCAACTATATTAGAATGGTTCAGAGCAACCGCGTCCCGCGGGACGATGTCCAGCGCGTGCGCACGTGTGACGGTGCGCAGGCCCGGCAGCCGCGGCGAGCGGCGCCCGTCCGTGCTCCACTGCTCGCTGCCGACCGCGCGTTCCACTAATCGAGGCGGGTTCGTGTCACCGCAACATTCCAACATTTGCTTCTGGAACATAAACTTATCATTTCGATTTTTTTATACCACTGAGGTGGCAAACAAGCGTACGAGTACAGCCCACCTAATAGTAAGCGGTTAACGTAGCCGTAGCCTGTGAACGCGTGCAATACCAGGGGCATTACCGATTCAGAAAAAACTTTTTTGCCCCTTTTTTTAAGAACCTCATGTTGAAGTCTCTTGAAAAACCTCGATAGGGAGTTCATTCCATAATCTGAGTGTTCGTGGGAGAAAACATCTGAAACCGCGCTGTCGCGACCATCTAAGTTCTGAGTTATGAGGGTGTATCCCTGTCGATGGCGAGCTGTACGACCGTGGAAAGTGGCCGTGGGCATCGTGTTGAACAATTCCTCTGAGCACAGTCCGTTGTACAAGCGGTAGAGCACGCAGAGAGTGTAATATGTTTATGCTAATAAATGAACTTTTATTTTTATCCGCAGGAAGATGATGTCACGTGTCATGACGATTTTCACTTATCGCTTCTTCGAGCGGTATAGTTATTAATTATAAATGATCCATATAAACTTTATCTTGAACTGCTGGTAGACTACGACTATCTACAAGAAAGTCAACGCATTTTATCATGAGCGAAACTATGCATACTATGCAGTGAAAACAGTATACTCTGTTATGTCCACGGTACTGCTCATGTCTATAGGCGACGGTTACCACTTTCCATCAGGTGGGCCGTCAGCTTGTTTGTCATTCTAAGTTGCATAAAAAAAATATGTCATTTAATCCTTGGAACCGGATAGAAAATAAACCTGAGAAATGGAAACCTCCTTTTTGTTCTCGGGCTCGGTGGCGACGACTTTGTCCGACACGGAAACAGAGGGCGCGGTGGGGCGGTACGCGGGGTGCGGCCGTGCGCTGCCGCGAGCCACGAACAGGCGGTTCAGCTCGTCCAGTTTCCTCATGATTATTTTATATGTCTTGCATTCTTCTGCCTGCACGGATGGAAGGCATTGGTACACTTACTTTAACAATCCGTTAACTGAAAAGACATCGGACTGCCAAGGAATCATTCCTATTGTGTAGTTACCTGATCCAGAACTAAAACTTAACTAAACATAAGCCACAGAGATGCAGGTCCTACACAAATTCGTAGTATTAATTACATAAGACAATGTGGCGATTAACACATTTTGACGCTACTGTCGAGTGTCGACTGACTGTCGTTAGTCTTCTAGCGTTGGATTGTTCACCCTTTCTTTATACTTGTGATTACACTCACTGACATTGCACAACACTGCGAACATACTCTGCGTTTCTCTTTCCGCCTGAGGTCCCTGGTACTTCGACTGGATGACGATATGTCAGTAGAATTGGGGGTAACGCTGTGCTCGCGTTCGCGTTCGCGCTCTCGGTCGCGGCTGGCGCCGAGCTGCTCGCATATGAGGGCGACGCGCGCGAGCTGCCTCTGCTGGTCGCGGAGCGCGTGTTCGCACGCCGCTCGGAACGCGTGCATCGAGCTAGTGGAGCAGCTGGCCACGCGCGGACTCACAGTATTGCCATCTAACGTGGTCGCATGTCTGTAAAGACAGTTCAATTTACTTCTCAGACAAATGTTCAGATTTGCTCACATGATTTCAGTTTGTATAGCCCGAAGGATCAGCAAATTGAAATTGCAAATAACGGGCCGTATAACTAGAAGAACCAACAACCAAAGGAGATAAAAAAATTCTTGAGTTATGACTCCGTACAAACGCAGTGTAATATAATCATTAGTTGAAGTGATAACCTCAAATATATTGCGAAGAGTCAGTGGATGCAAGCCTTTCCTCTGGTAGACTGTGATCTCTCGTGTTAGTTCGTGTAAAACAATGACAATATGATTTCTTCACAAAAAGCAGAAAGAGCTTAAAATGGCATGCAAAGAAAAGTGCAAGAGCTCAAGACTAGTGCCTAATTTAGGTTTGAACAAAACTTGTGTTACGCCTAATTGACGAGATAAAAAGATAAGGATGGTACCTGTGCAGGCGATGCCTCGTCGCCACGTAGCTGCCGTCCGAGAGGCCGGAATCGTGCGAGGGCCGCTTGTGGCGGCGGCCGGCGCGGCGCGGCGGCGTGCTGTCGCCCGAGCTCACCCGCGCCGACTTGCGGCCCGCGCCGCCGCTGTCCACCACCAACTGACCACTGTCATCAGAGCTCACAATCTTCACAGTCCGTAAACGGTCAACGATTTTGAATCTAGCTAAGATGCATATTATTTTCAGGTGAAAAGAAGTGAGTTTTTTTTTTTTTTTAATGGATGATAATGAAATGGTAACCCTGCCCGCGCTATCAGTATACATTGATAGGATACCAGTGATGATGATTGGTGAGGATGAAAAATAATTGCGATGGTTTCCAAAGGGAACCACGTGGAGGTCGACTTATTAGGGAATATTGCTAGCAATGGGGCAGTTAAATTCGATTACTAACAATCCCTTTCCCTCCAATGAAGTGAGTTTGTACTAAAGTAAATGTTCCTTCTCAACTCCCTACTCAATAAACTTATTGATTTGACTGAACAATCTCCATGAATCTACTAACTGTATTTAGTTGGTCTATGCATATGAAGTAGGCTACGACAAAGAATGGATTAATATCGTTGACCCAATATGGCGGCCCATCTCTCTGCCAAACGATCAAATCTGTTTCGCTGTCGAGTAACAGACATGTGTATAAACTGACACAATTATAAAATTAACAGGATTGTAAATTTCTTAATATGTAGATCATCCTACCAGCCTTTAACAGTCCACTGCTGAACATAGGCCTCTCCCTTGGGGGGGTTTTTGCCAGTAGTTGCCACGCTTGACAGGCGGGTTAGCAACGGCAGTTAGCTTTTGGTGATATTTTAAACGACCAATAACCCTTTGACCGCGTAATTTTTTTTTTCACAACAATAAGACACATCGTTTTGACGACAAATAGCAGTACGAGTATATAGCCATCTAGCGAGATTCAGAGAAACAATATCAATCTAGCAAAACAAAAATTGCGGGACCACAACGTCAATAAACATATAAAATGCGAGCACGTCGACATTGCGGGATGCGGAAAATTAAACTAGTATATACTGCACGCGGAAATAGAGGGATACCCACTCAGAGGGTTTTTTTTTTAATGGATGAAAATGGATAGGTAACCCCACCCGCGCTATCGGTATACACCGGCGGGGTACCAGTGAAGGATGATAGGTGAGGATGAAGCAGGTCAGTTAGCCCATCGTGACGAATTCAACAAGAATTGTTCACGATGGTTTCCAGGGGGAACCACGTGGAGGTCGACCTAATAAGGTATATTGCTAGCAATGGGGCTGTCAAACTCCATTGCTAACGATCCTTTTCCCCCTTGCTCAGAGGGTTAAGTTCCCGTAGTCGCGTCTTGCGGCACCCACGGGATAGGAAGGATTGAGCCATTTTATACCGGGACCACACGGCAAGTTAGATTCTCCTTACAAAATAAAAGTTTAAAGATTACGAAACATAAAAAAAATATTTTTTTGGTGGGTGAGATCACGACTGCGCTAACGGTAGGTATATTGAAATTGTTATATATATATATATATATATATATATATATATATATATATATATATATATATATATATATATATATATATATATATATATATATATATATATATATATATATATATATATATATATATTTATTTTTAGAACTTTTTTAGCATTTTAGGTGAGCATTTCACGCCTCAAATCACGCATGTATATACTTTTTATTCTGTGAGCGCGCGATGAGTCTGTTGAAGTCAAGTTGCTTAACTTTCAATCTATGTTCGAATAAAACTGTGTAGAGTAGACTGTTGTTTTACAACCATTTTTATGTCGCGACCTAAGAAAGAGCCAAAAAATTACGTAAAAAGTCTTTGCGACCCTGTCACTATAAAATTATAATAATAGTTTATAATATATTTTATTATTTATTTATACATTTAATAACAAATTTTTATTATTTTAATTTCATTACTAACACACCCATCTGAGAGGAAAGGGATTGATAATGAAAATGTTAGTTCACATAGCTCACAATATACTCTGTCAATTCGACATCTAATGTATAATGAATTTATAATCGGTCTCTCTTTCTCTTTATAATTTTGAATTAGGGATTAATTTCACAATATAATTTTATTGAGGTTATTCAACTTAAATACGTCAGCAAGATTAAAAGTAGTTTATTATTTTAGAATGTAAAGTATCCGGGGGTGTAACTCAGTGGTAGAGTGTCTGCTTCGCATGCTGAAAGTCCTGGGTTCAAATCCCAGCACCTCCACAATTTATATCTTTTTTTTTAAATATTTGTGCATTTTATCTGTTATTATTGTCATTTATATATAGAAAGATTTATTTTTAATAGGTAATTTTTAAATTTACACAATTGATGATGGGGTCGAGTCTGGAAGTTTATTTCAATTTTTATTCAAACATTAACATTTTATTTTGATTAGTGAAAGTTCTATTTTTTTTTTATACAACTTAGAATGGCAGACAAGCTGACGGCCCACCTGATGGAAAGTGGTAACCGTCGCCTATAGACATGAGCAGTACTATGGACATAACAAACAGAATATACTGTTTCGCCCATGATACCCCCCATGCGTTGCCATTTCTGAGGACTCAGGTGTTATTCCTCTGTACCCAGTAAATTCACGCCATATCCCACCCTTCAAACCGAAACACAGCCATGTAAACACACCTACTTCACGATAGAAACACGAATGTGACAGAGGTAGCCAAGCAATTGAGTTTTGTACAGTCTCCCTCTGGTTTATAGACCGTATATACTAATTTCGACTTAAATGTATTAGAAATTTGATTCATTATAGTTCTTAGAATAATCTTTTTCGTTGCGATACTAGTAGCTATAGCTATACTCGTGTAATATCTGTAATTGTAACAACAAATTGAAAATTACATTTTAGTGATTGCTTTCGAGAACGTCGCCTTAGAATCGAGCCCACTGTTTGACAACAGTTATAAACTTGTTATTTTTTAAGAACTAGATTACTACATAATTCGTCACTGCAAGAAGACTCATGCACTGTCAACATGTACTAGTTATGTTTGCTTCCCAAATAATGTTATTTTACCGATGGTAAATCTATAGGCGTATTTAGAGGGTTTTTGGTATGGTAACTTCGCCTGCTATTGGTATACGCTGACGGAGCATCAGTGAGGGATGATAGGTGAGGATGAAGAGGTCAGTTGGCCCATCGTGATGAATTTATCAAAAATTAACCACGACGGTTTGCAGGGTAAGCCGCGTGGAGGTCGACCTGATAGAGTATATTGGTAGTAATGGATCGATTTTTTTTTAATGGGTGATAATGGAATGGTAACCCCACCCGTGCTATCGGTATACACCGGCGGGCACCAGTGAAGGATGATAGGTGAGGATGAAGCAGGTCAGTGAGCCCGTCGTGACGAATTCAACAAGAATTGTTCACGATGGTTTCCAAGGGGAACTACGTGGAGGTCGACCTATTAGGGCATATTGCTAGCAATGGGGCTGTCACACTCCATTACTAACAATCCCTCCCCCCTATAATGGATCGGTTAGATCCCATTACTAACAATCCCCGTTCTCCCTATTTAGAGTGCTGAGAATGTATGGTGGCAGTAAAGAGTAAATCAATGTTTGCCGGGTCGGCAAGCTGTACTATAAAACGTGTGCAGGCAAGCTTAATGCCTCAAGGTGGCAGTTACCGTATGTGGTCGTCAGAGCGCCTCGGCAACGAGGGCCTGACGCCGCGCATGAAGCGGTCCAGGTCGATGACGTCAGCAGCGCCCCCTGCCCCAGCGCCGCGCCCGCCGCGACCACCGCCCGCGCCGTCAGTGGACCACGAGCACGACGAGGAGTGTGGAGACATGACCACTAGCTGTTAGCTGCAGGAAAAAACACAAAAGTGGAGAAGGGGGGCAGGGGGGAACAGACATTTCTAGAAACACGAGTATACTCTTTCAAGTCGACCATCACGAGCCTTGAAAATATCGTGGTTAAATCTAAATGAATTCGTCACGATGCGCAACCCGGACTGACTTCATCCTCATCTGTCATCCTTCATTGGAGTTCTGCCGCCGTAAATCAATAGTATAGGCGAGGTTACCAAAGCAGTTGTACTTGCATACATGGCTGTGTTTAAAAACCATCGTGCTGAATCTTAGGTGTATTCATTACGTTGGGCTAATTGATCTGCCTTTTCATTCTCACCTATGATAGGTGAGAATGAAAAGGCACCTGGTGGTGTACGGTGTAAGGTGTACCTCACTAGTACCCCGCCTGTGTAAACCGTTAGCGCGGGTGGGGTTGCCATTCCATTATCATTTATTAAAAAAAAAACACCATAGTCCTTGGGTAGTTGGCTGGATTATTAGTAGTGAGGTCTAAGAGCCCCGTTCCTATCAGGAATAACAACAACGCATGAGTATTCTATGAAATCCATGGTGCTGTTCATATCTAAACCAGTTACTATTTTCCATCAGATTTTTTTTTATACAACTTAGAATGGCAAACAAGCTGACGGCCCACCTGATGTAAAGTGGCAACCGTCGCCTATACACATGAGCAGTAACATGGACATAACAGAGAATACTGTTTCGCCCATGATACCCCCATGCGTTGCCATTCCTGAGGACTCAGGTGTTATTCCTCTGTACCCAGTAAATTCACGCCATATCCCACCCTTCAAACCGAAACACAGCCATGCAAACACAACTGCTTCACGGTTGAAACACGAATGGGACAGAGGTACTCAAGCAATCGACTTTTGTACAAAGTCTCCCTCTGGAGGAGATGAACCGTCAGCTTGTATTTCTTCAGACACCACAAGATTTATCTAATCACAATAGGTCAGTTCATGTCTTCAGCGCTCCTAGTATCAACGTACTACCACACGATTTCAAGACCTCTTAATAGGGTAGTGAAGGGGGGGAAAGGGATTGTAAGTAATGGAGTTTGACAGCCCCATTGCTAGCAATATGCCTTATTAGGTCGACCTCCACGTGGTTCCCCCTGGTAACCATCGTGTACAATTCTTGTTGAATTCGTCACGATGGGCTAACTGACCTACTTCATCCTCATCTATCATCCTTCACTGGTGTCCCGCCGGTGTATACCAATAGCACGGGAGGGGTTACCATTCCATTATCACCCATTAAAAAAAAATAGGGTAGTGAAGAGATATCTAAACTAATATTGTAAACAGGAAACACTTTTGTTTGTAATGGTAAATTAAAAAAAAAATTACTTAACCGATTTTAAAAACTTTTTCATCTATAGACCGCTACATTATCCGCAGGTAACACAGGTAGTATGCTGTTTGGAAACAATTAGAGATGTCTACACTATGTACCCGTAGGAGGGCGGGACGCGTCGTTAATAAGGTAGTATGGTACCGACCCAGTAGTGTCGCTCCGCAGTCGAGGCCGTTGCGTCCGCTCGGCCGCATCCTCTCGTCTTCGCAGCGCCACCTTCTCTGTCACTGTCACGCGACATGACCGGGCAATATGTCAGTTACACGTTACGCGTATGTCTATAGATATTTATTTATTTCAAAAATACCCGTAAAGAGGTTTTGTAATATAAGTCACGAGTGTGAAACGACCAGGCGACTCACCAAGCTGGACTAAAACACCGTTATAACTTATACTAAGTCTATAATAAAAACTATACGACTCACAAATAAAAAGTATTATTTGTCAATGTACTAATAAAGTGAAATTTTAATTAGAATTGAATAGAAAATATTAAAAAAACAATTACAACAAAATACGAAAATATTACATACCGAGGGCACAGATAATATAATACTAGCGAGGGTAACACAAAAAGTTCTCGACCTGACAATGAAAGACTACGATTTTCTGTAAAAATTTTTTTTTTTTACAACACACGTGACGAACGGGGGTGTTATTCTTGAAATATTCCCAAGGAGGGTTGACGTCGGGCAGGCGGCCGGTCGTGAAACTATAAGCCAAATATTTTTGTAATATGGATAAAAAACATATTACGCCGGCCACAAACAATAATTGGGATCAGGGTAGGAAGATGATGATTCTTGAAATATGCCATCTTGAAGTGGTCATTTTAATTGGTTATGCTACTTCTGAAATCCACGTGTACGAAGTAGCGGGCAAATAGATAGATAGGTAGAAATAGTAATAAAGTGCCACATGGTTACATTAATAGCCAGAGTCTCAACAGGGATATCCTGCCTCATGAGGGGGGAAAGGGATTATTAGTAATGCAGTCTAACCGTCCCACTTCTAGCAATATATCCTATCGGGGGTGGAAAGGGATTATTAGTAAAGCGAACTATGAATCTCATTGCTTGCAATATACCCTGTCAGGCCGACCTCCACGCGGTCTCCTCTGGAAACCATCGTGTTGAATTCCAGTTGTATTTATCACGATGGGCTAACTGAGCTGCCTTTTCATTCACACCTATCATCCCTTACTGGTGCCCCGCCAGTGTATACCGATAGCGCGGGTGGGGTTACCATTCCATTATCATTCGTTTAAAAAAAATCCTGCCTTATGAGGAAGCAAGCACACATGTAGCGTGGTGCAACCCAGAGCTGGGCCAATTTCGAAAAGTTTGTTTCTTGAATTGGCCCGACCGAGAATTGAACCTGGGACCTTATTTATGTGAAGCGACATGCTTGTTGCGTTTACATCACAACAGTTCCATACATAAATAATATCTACATGAAACTAGTTGCAGAAGAAAACAAAACACATGCAAAAATACTATTTTTTTCTATTTAATTTAACCTACCCTCCAAAAATAAGCATAATATTGTCTGGTATACAAATTGGGAATCTGTATTTGGCTAATGTATGGTGGAAATATATTTTTAATCGTTCTAGATATAAGCTATTGATTCCAGATGTAATATTAAAATAAAAATGCCTGAGCATGTCTCAGCAGCAGTCTCTAATTGAGACTAGCGGCGGCGTGGTAGTAGCAACTCCTTAAAATATGGTACAGAGGAGGGGATTGTTAGTAATGCAACCAATTCGTATAACCCTCCCAAGTTTAATAGTCGTCTCGCACTGGAGGGCGTAAAATTAACAACGTAGCACATTTAATCGGTCGGGTTATACGAAATGTTTTAAACGGAGCGTGTTCTAAATTTGAAATAAAACAACGGTCATGTTACGGCAAGTTAATTGTATTTCATTATTCAGTACCTTACACTACGTGCAGGAATTATCGTTAGCTGCTAGTCCCGACCATTGGGAACCTTATTGCGTAGAGATTAAAGCCTATATTCGGTCGGGTGCCGCGCGCGTTTCCACTTTCTTCATACCTAATGTATTTTTTTTTATTATATATTGTAACATCCATACAGAATTCTAAAATTATGTATAATATATAATTGTATGTGTTCGACTTATGACTTGCCCTGTGATAAGTACATACATTTTTATGCTAAACGAAATTGACGGCCCACCTGATGGAAAGTGGTAACCATGGACGTAATACACTGTGACGCCCATGGCTACCCTTCATTGTATGGCCATATATTTCTCGAAATCGAACAAGGGACTTTGAGCAACCCACTTGAGAGCACACTGACGCTGACCACCCTATATGGGATTACAGTCGTGAGCATATAAGGGCATTATGAACACTTCCCAATTTTCAGCATCCGCCATATAAGTAACATTAATAACAATTTGTAAATAATATTGACAGGTTTCGTTTTATTTTATTTGAATAATAGTGCATAAAAATAAACAAATTTTCATTTTTAAATAAATAACTAAATTCGATTTTTTTTTTATACCACTCGGTAAAAAAAGCATACGGCCCAAAAATAAACAACGACTGGCCAATAGACAGACCGGGTACCAGTTGTGCCAACTATAGGACGGTAGACTACACATCACGTGTTTATAGATAGCTAGCCGTGCCCCGCGGCTTTGCCCGCGTCAATCAATATACTATAAAGTATCCTGTGTGCTGAGTGAGGACAGATAGATACTCTTTATCGTTTCCTCCATAAGATTACAACAGTAAACTTATTATAAATATAAACAATTACAAGAAATAATCACAATGAGGAAACAATGGGCGGCCTTATCGCTAAGAGCGACCTCTCTGGGATATAACCTATCTATGTAGCAAAATTCATTAAAATTTGTTCACTCGTGTATGCGTGATTGAAAAACAAAAATTTATAAAAAAAAAAGTTTCCCATCTATGTACACAAACACAAATAATATAGATAAATGTTTGTTATTCTTTTACGCAAAAACTATTGAACAAAGTGGATGGAATTTGGTACATGAATAGCTTATTAGGGCATATAACCTTAGGATAAAGAACACTTTGTATTGTGATTCACGCGGGTAAAGTCGCGCGATACAAGCTAGCCTGAAAATAAACCTCATACCTGCCTGGCCAGGTAATTGTAAGCCGTTACCCCAGCGGTGGAACGCCGCTGGGGCTGTCATAACATACTCCCGGTATAAACAAACAATAAATAACAACAAATCTACACAATTTCATTGCCAGATAACAAAATTAATATGAATCTCATACAATATTAATCAACAAAATATTATAACACAAAAATTTACATAGACATGAGCAGTACCATGGACATAACAGAGTATACCGCACATGATACCCCCATGCGTTGCCATTCCTGAGGACTCAGGTGTTATTCCTCTGCACCCAGTAAATTCACGCCATATCCCACCCTTCAAACCGAAACACAGCCATGCAAACACAACTGCTTCACGGTTGAAACACGAATGGGATAATAATTTACATAGCCAACCGAGCCGGCAGGCTACCATTCAACATAGCCGGGTTACAATTTGAAGTTAAAATGCGCGCGAAATTATTTTTCCAAAGCAAACCGAATCGACGTGTATACAGTTGTAATTCTATGCGCGTAATACTTTTATATTATTGACAAGTCTCTGTCTACGCCGCGGGCGGCTCAGCGAGGAGCTACAATAATATCGAATGAAAGAAAAAAAAACCGTCAAGCGAGATTCGTTGTCGAGATTCAGAATTTTATTTATTTCCAGTTACTCGAAATATCCATCAGGGGGTCTACCATGAAATAAAATTCCGAAGTTTCGGACTCTATTTCGTGTTTTCGTTCATACCTAAATCGGCCCAGTTAATGGAGCTTAACATTTCGTTCGTCATAAATCCGACTATAAAAATCAAAAGGAATAATATTTATATATTTTATTATATATTTTTAATGTCTTTAAACGGTATATATTATGTAATTTTAACATCAAATTTGTGTTTCGTTCGGCTCCGAAATTTCGGAAAACATTTCATGGTAGGCCCTCAGTTCACTTCACGAGTATTTACCGTCCAGTCGTCGACTCGTAATTGACGATTGTTTCACAAAAAACCAGACTCCAATTGTGGCAAGACAAGATATTGCGATTTGAAAACTAAACTACTACACCGACTTTGATAAAACTTCTATACAACCAACATGTAAGTATATCCTTTCAAATAAAAAACATAATTTTCCCAATCGGTTTACAACTGACGGAGTTATGACGTAACAAACATAATACGATCGAATTGAGAACCACCTTTTTTGAAGTCGGTTAAAAAGAATCATAAAGGTCTCGTAATTTTATATACTATTTTTTTTTTAGTTTACAATATTAATTAATATTTAATAATATTATACTTGTATAATTATTTTATACATATTAGTATAATTTCATATTAAAATGACAAAACAATTAGAAAAAAAAATATATATATACAATACGGCTGTTCACACATCGGGTCGCGTCTGAAATATTATGTTACACGTTTGTATGTATGTACACTATAATTTGCATTTAATCTCAGTCGACTATCTCCGGCGATACTAGCGGCGGGAGAGGCGCTGTCCCGCTCTGACACCTTCATATCACAGTACACTGTCTCTTTCTACAATTAAAAACGATTCGATGCTATAAGAATGAAAAAAATGGCGGTAAAATTCCACTTACACCGATAAAATCATCCAAATATACTTTCGAGTTACGTTTATAAATTCATTTCATTTTATTAATAATACTCGAGTGTTCCAGCTTCATCTCTATACAAACCTTAGCGTACAATTATTAAATATGGCTCAGCGAATATACAGTAGGAATTTCAATCTTATAGCACGAACACACAAGAATTAATTTGCAGCGTCGCCTCTCCCAACTGGCGGCGGGCTACGACCGCGGCGCGTGTCACGTGTCGCATGTCGCGTGTCACGTGTTGCGACTACGTGCGTGCGGCGTGTCTCACGGCGGCGTCACGACGCGTTGTCGCGTGTTACATACACCGTGTGGTGTCGCTCGCGGCGTGTCGCGCGTTACATGTCGTGACATGTCGCGTGTCGCGCTCAGTTGTCGCCGTCGGCGGTGTGTCACTGGCTATTCGCGAGCTCGTCCATACGACATCTGCAAACAACAGTGGTACAACAATTTCACTTTATGTAACAAATGTTATTTGTGAAGTCTTTAGACGGGTAATCTTTAAAAACACGTAACCATCATCATCATCATCATCTTCACCATCACATCAGCTGTTACCTGTCCACTGCTGAACATAGAGCTCTCCTTATTGGGACCAGTTGTCACGTTTAACAGGCGTGTTGGAGACCGCAGTTACATTTTGGTGATGTTTGAAGACCTCGACGATTAAGTTCCCTTAGTCGCCTCCTACGACATCCAGGAGGAAAGAAGAAGTGGTCGATCCTATGCCACCACATGACAACAAATCATAGTATAATACGTGATATAAACAAAAATTACAAGAAATAGATGATATAGTGAAAACAATGGGCGGCCTTATCGCTAGAAGCGATCTCATTCACACAACCTGTGGATGGAGCAGAGACATTATAAACACTACTCTATTTTTTATTCGGATTAAGGCTAGAATGTTAGCTTCAAAAAGTCGGCTAGATGTTTTTTTTTTAATGGGTAAAAATTATATGGTAACCACTCCTGCACTAAAGGTGTTACCATACCCACACTGGTGGCGGGGCACCAGTGAGGGATGATAGATGAAATAAAAGCAGCTCTGTCGACATATTGTGGAGAAAGCACCAGGAATTAGCCACAATGTAATTAATGTTAATTGTAAGACTGATGAAGAGTCAAGATAATAATAATAATAATGCAGAAAGCGGTGCTCATAGATTCTGCCCGCATTGTACGCCGGTTTCTCTCCCTGGGGCCCTGAACTCCGGCCGACTGTGCTTCTGCCGGGGGTTAGTTTGCCATCTCCTCACTTTAAGAGGGGAGATGTGAATTTTTGTAAAAATTAAAAAATAATAATAAACTGTCTCCATTTCTTTTCTCTTGGCCAGGAACGTAGACGGGCGAGAGTATAGTGTGTAGGGTTCTCACCTGACAGCCATCTCGGCGACTTCCAGGCTCGGGTAGTCCAGCTCCTTCACCAGGCACAGCACCGCCGACAGCAGGTTCGAGTTCTGGCGACGACACGGAACAGGCATTCAATATTTAGGTAACAAATTAACACGAAAGTTGTTTCCATTAAAAAAGAATCATGAAAATTGGTCCACAATTTGCTTCATAGAAGTAGATTTTTTCCACAAAAAAAAACCACTGACTTCTATTATTTCGATTTTAAGCCCAAAACTACTAATTTTAACCAATATAAAAGTATATCCTTTCAGTGTTCTGACGGCCTATTATGGCATATTTAACGAAAATTCGGAGTCAAACAAAACTTAAGTTTGATGATAAAACTACATAATACAAACTGTTTAAAATATTGTTTTATAGGACTTTTACGGTAAGATATTATGAAAAAGATATTAAGCTTTATTTACTGGGCAGATTTATGTATGAGCAAAAACACGAAATTGAGTTCGTAATTTTATTTCATGGTAGATCCCTTGAAGTAATAAAACAAACACAACCGGATTGAGGAATTCCTCCTTTTTTTAAATGAATTAAAAAAAAAATCGAACTAGGAATCTATTTATGAACATGTTATTTTACTGTTCAGGTGTGGCAATGTACAAGTGGTCAAAGCACGTCTTATTCATGTTGACATTGTTCAAGCTGACGGCCCACCTGATGGAAAGTGGTAACCGTCGCCTATAGGCATAAACAGTACCGTGGACATAACAGAGTATACTGTTTCGCCCACGATACCCCCCATGCGTTGCCATTCCTGAGGACTCAGGTGTTATTCCTCTGTACCCTGTAAATTCACGCCATATCCCACCCTTCAAACCGAAACACAGGCATGCAAACACAACTGCTTCACGGTAGAAACACGAATGGGACAGAGGTGTCCAAGCTAATGACTTTTGTACAAAGTCTCTGTCCCTCTCTTTGCTTCTTAATATGAGCAATGATCGTGTACTAACCCTGGCGACGGGGCGGCGCGTGAAGCCGCGGTGCTCGGCCATGACGGCGGACGGGTACTCGCGGCCGCCGCCCGCGCTCGCACTGCCGCCGCCGCCCTCCCACTCGCACCGCGGCACCTGCTGGTACGGCTCCGACCTGCCCAACACGCGGGAACGGATTGTTAGTAACGGGGAGGTCGGTCCCCACTGCTATCTATATACCTTATCAGGTCTACCTCCACGTGATTACCCCAGGAAACAATTCAACAATTCTTGTTGAATTCGTCACGGTGAACCAACTGATCTGCTTCATCCTCACCTATCATCCTTCACTGGTGTCCCGCCGATATATACCGATCGAGCAAGTGGGATCATTCCATTAACACGCATTAAAAAACCTCCACGCGGTTGCCTCTAGAAAACATCATGATTAATTTATCGTTAAATTCGTCACGATGGCCTAACTGACCTGCCTTTTCATCCTCACCAATCATTTCTCACTGGTGTCAGTGTATACCGATAGCGCAGGCGGGGATACCGTTCCATTATCATCCATTAAAAAAAAAGACCTGCTGAGCAGAATTACCGTACATTTTCGTTGTAAGCAGCGGGATTTGTCACTAAATAACAGTCGTGTAGCATTTATATAAAACCTCTTCATCATCACCAAATCAGCTATTATTTGTCCACTATTAAACACAGACCTCCCCTATAAGAGGGGTATTGCTAGTAGCTGCCACGCTTGGCAGGCGGATTGGCAACCGTAGTATGGCTTTGGTGACGTTTTAAAAATGGCGCTGCTGCCCATCTCTCGCCCTCCTTAGTTGCCTCTTACGACACCCACGGGAAAGGAAGGAGTGGCCATTCTATGCCGGGACCATATAACGTGTGACATAGTATATGTGGGGCAAATAAAGCATAATTTTTGTCTTTAATTTGTTATATAAAATTTGACTTTTTAAAAAAAGCAACAGCCGAGTTTCTTGCCCGTTCTTCTTGGCTGAAATTGCATTCCGAATGGGCGGTAAAATAATGAAAAAATGACTATTCACAAATGTTTAAATGTAAGTTTACTTGAATAAAAATATTTCTTTTTTCTTACAAATAAAAAAAAAGGATGTGGATCGTAAGAACAACGTATGAGTATATGTGTGCCGTGTTTACCTGTCAACGCGCTCGTAGTAGGAGTCCTGGTAGTGGTGCGGCGGGGACTGCACGCCCCGCTCGCTCGCCGCCCCGCCCCCGCCCCCGCCGCCGCCCCCGCCGCCACCGCCGCCGTACCGACACTCGCCGTTCGAATACGAGTACTCCTATACAAATACCACTATACTGTCCACGCGTAAACATATGTCTTTATAGTAAACAACACATTCATAAACATTCAATGTGGTAACAGAGTAATAATACAACATATCACAAATTTATACTCAGGCTGTCACAAGAATCGAATACAGGCTAAGAACAAAGAATTACATAGAAGGAATGATAAAATAAAAACTGTAAATCATATGGTTACCTCCTTTCTTATTATGCAAATATAATTAGTAAAAAGAGGACGAAAGATACACCATCAGTTGCTATTTTTCTCTATTCATAACAGGCTAGTGTATAAACAATGTTCTACGGCCGTATAACCCTACCAAATTCAGATACAACCCGCTTGCATACTTTCTACATAAACTGTGTCCAATATATAATCTAGTAATGTAAAATTTGTCCTTGACAAATAATTGACATATCAAACAATCTCTTGCTACCGTGTAACAAGAATACCAGTTATCTTAAGTTACTCTTGTTACGCGTCACCGGGATAATTTTGAAGCTGTACTATTGAATGGAAAGACATTTTTTAAATGCATCTAAAACTAAGATAGAATTTGATAACATAAATCAGGTTTTTTGCAAAACAAACATTTTTCACTTACAATGAGATGTGCACGGCACGATCTATAAGTTTTATTTCCATATTTCTTTCCCTTACATTAGTACCTTAGTCGTAGAATGAAAAGTAATGGTGGCATTGTATTCTTACTCTGTTATTAAACAGAAAATCGATTACTTATTACTTGTTATTATCAAGCGTTACAAATAGCCAATACACTGCTGGGTGAGATCAGTAAAGCATGTACAGTGATTGCGAACTGTCAGAATGTTAACGACAACAAAGTAAACAAATATCTCTGATCACCCCAACAGGAATTACAGTCGTGAGCATGTTCACTTTGTACGCACGATATGCGCCACACAGTTTGTTAATTACGAAAATGTTATTAAATCGACAAATGAATATTAAATACGAGTTTTTGTTAATCCCATTATTAGTAACTACAATCATGGAACAGCTCACACCAGGGGTGGCCTACTTGAACTGTTTACTGACGAAACCCTGTACGATCTACCAATTGCATACTTCTTGAAATCACAGATGAAACAACATAGTTCAGTGCACAACTATTAGTAGTATTGTAGTATTTGTTATTTAATTACGAAAAAAAACAAAACTGGAACTGATTCTTAGCAACTACTTATTTATATTAGCGCGAGCATTGCGTCCGAACATCTTCCGCTGGATTAGCAAAATATTATATTGTTTGCCTCGCCACCATCCCCTGGACTAATAGTTGGTCGACTGGTTGGCCACCCCTGGGTTATGCCTTTTTATAAATTTAATATTTATATAATTAATAATATAACTGTTTTGGTTAATTAAACAAAAGACATCCTATATATCCGAGACAGGATGTAAATATTGATATTTCTGACACTCACTAGACCGTTTTAATTATCCTCGAAATAACTTCAAATTTTCGTGAATTATATATTAATTATGTATGTAAAAAAATATTTGCATTCATTTCGCATCTCCCAAAAAATTTAATGTCATTTTCATAAACGTTTATGAGTATACAAAAGGAATCATGTAAGTCCTTAATTACTTAAATGTAAAACTAGTTAGCTTATACTAATCGTTGAACAGTTTGTAAATGTTCAAACAATTGTGAAGGAAAAGCGTATATATCAAATAAGTGTTGCAATTGTGCAGTGTAGGTACAGAGCACCCAGAAAGAATACTACTAGGGGGTACGTTGCAACAAGAATACCACTACATAGCAAGCGAAGTTTGTGTGTGTTTTTGAAATCCAGTTTATACCGGCTCGCGCTGGTTTAGAGCGACAAATCGAGAGCTACAAAGCGCATGTCTGTTAATAATAATGAACATTGAAATGCACTGTAGCGTGTGAAAACAACGGGTCAATATTATTTGTTTATAATATTACAATATATTTATTACAAGTTAATATTAGTATGTACGTAGACATGTTTAGATCGCGTAAAACTTATAATAAATTTACTACGTGGATGTATCTACCTACCTACGTTTATGTGTACCTATACAGTTGATATCTACTTAGTTTACATACTAAATTATTTATTTTTAATAAATTTAATCACATATATGGACATTTTAATGTATTTAACTCTGTTGTGGCAACCCTTACACATTTGCCGGTACATTGAAGGAGCTTTCTTTCTAGGTGTGTTCTGTGCTGTGAGTTTAAGTGCAAATGTGGGTGGTAGTGCGAGACGGTGCGAGTGAGCGCGAGTGTGTGCGAGTCGGTGCGAGTATGTGCGAGTGTGTGCGAGTATGTGCGAGTGTGTGCGAGTGTGTGCGAGTGTGTGCGAGTGTGCGCGAGTGTGTGCGGCGTGTCGCCGGTCGTTGTCGGTCACCTTGACGCTGTGCGCGGAGAGCGAGTGCGGCAGCGCGGCGGGCGGCGAGCGGGCCGCCGCGGGCTGCAACATACACTCGCTGCACTACTCCGCAGGCCCAGTACTCCGCACTCACACGGCACACGGCACACGGCATACAGTACTCAGTACTCTCTACTCACTACACCTAACTAGTACACTCATACATGTATATAGCAATGGTACAGTCAACACCAAAAATCTATTAACACGTCGATTACAAAAACTACTTGGCACTTTGAAAGAGCGTAAAATTGAATGGCCAAAACCACTACACAGCTGCCAGCTGTATTACCAGAGTCATAGCATTCAAGTTATTCCAATATTGTACGTCTATTCAATTCGGACACTAGTCTCGTATGATTTGCATATACAAACGATGTTTAGCGGTTTGCCTATCTGGATATATCACGTAATCGATATTTGGTGCTGTTTGTACAATGAAAGCTTAAAATACTTTTCCTGCAGATTCTAAAGCGCGGTAGAAAGTGTTATTTCAAGAAATCCTTTCTTAATCAATACCTACTTTATAAAAAGGCACGAAGTTAAAATTTTGCGTTCCTAATTCCATCAGTTCGACAACTCAAAGATCATCGACGATCGACGTTAAAAGATCAGTGAGTCAGGACAGAGATTAAACTCGATTATAATTAAATACATATAAATTAAGTTAGTCACATTATAGTAAGTAAACAGTATAACAAAGCAGTTATTGCCAGAGTTAGCCGCTGCAGTTAGTTCCCCGCGTTCCGTTCAACTATTACTGAACTACATGCTGATCGATGATTATGATCCAAAATGCATTATACGGTGAACGGCAACTGTGACTACTGTTTTTAAATCAAAATACTTTGTACTTAATGACAAATGCTTAATGTTCAATAAGTGATACGTAAAACAACAAAAGTGAAACATGAATTAAAGAACGATGCTGATCCTGAAGCGCGATTCCATAAACTTACTTAGCTATTTTGTAAATGACTAAATAGGCTTAAGAAATTTTATATAAATAATAAAAAATAGGGGGGGGGGGAAGGTTTTATTAGTAATGCTGATTAGCAGTCTTATTGCTAGCAATATACCCTGTCGGACCGACCTCCACGTAGTTACCTTTGGAAACCATCGTGCTGAATTCCAGGTGATGGATGGATTTATTAATGGATGACAAAGGAATGGTAACCCCGTCTGCGCTATCGGTAAACACTGGCGGGGCACCAGTGAGGGATGATAGGTGACGATGAAAAAGCAGGTCAGTTAGTCCATCTTGATGAATTCAAGAATTAACCACGACGGTTTCCAGAGGGAATCGCGTAGAAGTAAACCCACCCTGGGTATATTGGTAGCAATCCGTTCCCCCTGGGCTATGGGTGGAGTGTGCAGTACTCACGTCGTAGTGCGAGCGCGTCATGGCGGGGTGGTCGTAGCGGTCGTCGTCGGGCGCCGGGCCCGCCGCGGCGGCCGCGCGGCGCGTCGGCGACAGCGGGCACTGCGGTCCCCACCACCACCACATTAGTATAACTTAGCTTAATAACTTTTAATCCACTTCACAACATTTACGAGATATCAACGACAACAATTTTTTTTTTATTTAAGAGTTTCCTCCTGTCGGTGCAACTAATTAATGCATTTTCTTCCAGCCAGTTTTATCCCAGGCCATATCTTTGACCTCCCTATACGACATGACACCTAGTATTCCTTTTATCTGTCCCATGTAGTTATTCCTCGGTCTTCCCCTTCCCCTTTTGCCTTCTATTTTTCCTTCTACCATATTCTTTAAAAAATCGTCGTGTCAACAACTATAAACTGTGATTATTTCTTGTAACTGTTTATATTTATAATAAGTTTACTATTGTAATCTTTTGGAGGAAACAATAAAGAGCATCTATCTATCTATCTGCCTATTTCTTTTTGCAAACAGTATAGATTCTACCTGTATACCACACGATCGCGTGGGACATGAACGCAACTGAAGTCGCTACTGTACTTGTGGAACAAAATCTTGAAGTACCATATATTTATGTTTATATTGTTGTATCAATCGTTAATACAACAATATAAACATACTGCTGAACGTAAGCCTGCCTCTTGAGGAGTTCTGCTAGTAGTTGCCACGCTTGGCAGGCGGGCTGGCTACTGCAGTTAGACCTTAGAGATGTTTTAAGAGGGACGCTGCTGCCCATCCCTCGCCCTCCTTTAGTCCCCTCTTACGACACCCACGGGAATGGGGTGGTGTATTCTACACCGGGACTATATGACGATATATTACATGACATTTTCGCCAATTCTGAATTAATTTTGATAAACTTTTAATTTAGTGGAAATGTCACGACTCCCATGTTATTTCCATTCAGTTTTTTCTTTTACAGAAATAATCCAATTCTATAATAAAATAAAATAAACTATTTTAATAAAATGATTTTTCATATTTTCCTTTTTTCCCCATGTTACAATTTTTTTTTCCAAAAACAACCTGATCGAGAGAAAATAGCAGTTAGTGCAAGTCGATATGAAACGACAACACGCATAAAGAAACGAGGCATGTTAGAAAATGTAAGAAATGTAAGGCTTGCACAGCGCGATCGAAACCAGAACAGGACTGACTACTCGCCACATTTGACATCTTAGCTGTCATTCATTCATTTATTTATTTATTTATGCTATAAATTTCAAGTGGCAGCTGGAGGTGAATGGCCTATCCTAGTCTGATTTGGATGGCGGTGTGGTGTCGAGGTATGAATGCAGCGGGCGGTGCTCACCTGCAGCGCGTCGGCGGCCGCTTCGCCGGCGCCGCCCTCCGAGCTGTCGCTCGCCTGCACACATGCACTCGTCAGTCGGTGTACTACACGCGGCACACGCTTATACGTCAGTATATATACACACACACACAGACACGCACACACAGGCGCGTACGCACACCAACACACGCGCGTCACTACATTGTTTATTGAGCAACACATTTGAGGGTATCGTTAAATAAATCCATGATTATTTATTACGATGCAATATGATTATTATAGCGGGGGGGGGGGGGGGCGGCATCAGCCCGCTATAAGTACATTATTCATGAAACTGAACAACTTGCTGCACACATAGTCACAATATAAAAACTGTTTACTGTATGATTTACATAAAATTAGAAATACTATAGATATATTTACATTAGCTATATCTTGTGCCACGGTATGATAATCCAAAATACTGATTTTTTTATACCTCTGAGGTGGCAAACAAATTTTTTTTTATGCTACTTAGAATGGCAAAAAAGCTGATGGTCCACATGATGGAAAGTAGTAACCGTCGCCTATAGACACGAGCAATACCATGGACATAACAGAATATATGTTTCGTCCATGATACCCCCCATACGTTGCCATTCCTGAGGACTCAGGTGTTATTCCTCTGTACCCAGTAAATTCACGCCATATCCCACCCTTCAAACCGAAACACAGCCACGCAAACACAACTGCTTCACGGTAGAAACACGAATGGGACAGAGGTGGCCAAGCAAACGACTTTCGTACAATGTCTCCCTCTGGTAAATTAAGTCTCCTTTAACATTCGTGATATTAGGAGGATTTCGACCATAATCTTTAGGAGCAGGTGCTCAGTTTCACGAACTCCATAGCTGCATATTGGATTGATGTACAGATTCTTCGGATCGCTATGTAATAATATCAGATATGAATGTATTAACAGTAATTATTATGTTATTGATAAATCATGAATTGATTAAAACTAATAATAAACACAACAACAATATATTAATAATGCATATGAATTCACGATCTCAATTAATCTCGACACATGCTTGTTTAATCCAAAATTCAAATATATTTGTACTGAATAATGTTTAGGGTTGCCTCTGTTTGCATTCGCTAAGGTTATGTGGTGTCAGACGACAACCCTATGACTGTCGGTAGTGTAGGTGCGACCTGGTCGTGGCGGTCGTGGCGGTCGTGGCGGTCGAGGCGGTCGAGGCGGCGCGGCTCGGGCTCGCGCTCGGGACTCGACGAGCACGAGCGGCGCCGGCAGCCGTACGCCTCCTGCGCACACGCACCCACCACAGGCGTAATGTAATAATAACATCAAGGCTGGAGCGACACTCGCTACTACTGTCTTAATTCAGTTAAATATTACAGTCAATTATTTACATATATTGACTCTTAAGCCGTTTTAAGAACAATAAACACACACATGCACGCACGCACGCACACACACACACACACACACACACACACACACGCACGCACGCACGCGCACACACACACACACACACACACACACGCACACACACACACGCACACGCACATGCAAACGTCTACACAAAACATGCACCTACATATATCCAAACTTACTTTAAATGCTATGTAATTAAAAAAAACCTTATTACTATGTATTATGTTATTACTATATGTTCGCCGCGCCATAACTGTTAAATTTCTTGCTTTGTGTGAGATCATAGCTATATTGTACCATAGATTAATTTTGTTTAAGGAAATAAAATTATTTTTACTCTTTTTTTTTATGCAACAAACTGACGGCCCGCCTGATTGAACAGCAAAGAATATGCTATAATGTCTTTTGTACTCCTCACACGTCGCCATTCTCTATAACTACAGTTTTTTATCTCCGTAACCTGTAATTTCGCTGCCATATTCCACTCTTCAACTCAGCCATGCAAGTTCAGCTACTTCACGGTAGAAACACGAATGGAACAGAAGTACACTTGCAAACACTCACATACAGTTTGCCTCTCTCCCTCTCTATCTCTCGCTCTCGCTTAATTAATACAGTTTTTCGTGATCAAAACTCCTAACATATTAGGTGTCATCCGCGCCACGCTATAATGGACAGTGAATAATATGAGGTGCGCGTCACCTGCTGCGGGTAGCCCTCGTCGTCCGAGTCCGGTATGTGCGCGCCGCGACGCATCGCCTCCTGCACCTGCAACCAGCCACAGTTACAAGTTAAACGCCCATCTGACTATATTCAGCGGCAAGGGATTATTTATAATACGTCTAACAGCTAACATTTTAACCTATAAAGTCGGATTTCGCGTGGCATACACACAATCCATCACTAAACTATGGACAAGCGCCCTCTGGTGTCAAAATGAAACAACCAGTGATGTTGGTTTGTTGAATATACGAAAGAGTTTTATTTCAAATATGATACATTTCACTTGACATGCGTAACAAATGCACCATAGCACCGTCTAAATGTTTGACAGCGCCATCTATTATTAATATTAGGTACTAAATCTACTATTCGATCTACTATTGCCCACTCACTACTTCCTATATCACTGTGTTAGGTTGATTGGAAGAAATCTCTTTTAGAGATAAGTTCCCCTTTGCAACATTGTTGTTAACTTATTGTTGTTACTGTATGTTTTAGTGCAATAATATATATATATATATATATATATATATATATATATATATATATATATATATATATATATATAATTCTAATAGGTACACGGCTAATGTATTGTTATTACTCGAATATCTATTACAAACTAATACACGTGTTCTGCCCTGAAAACCCCCTGTGATTATTTATTAATTCCTATTAAAATTATGACGATGGGCCAACTGGCCTGTCTTCACCTATTACTCCTCATTGATGCCGTTTTACAGCTAGCGCAAGGGAGATTACCATTTCCGTACCTTGTAGTTTCATAGAGACAGTAGTACAGCTGATAGGGGGGAAAGGGATTGTTAGTAATAAACTGACTCACTGCTACACCCTATCAGGTCAACCTCCACGCGGTTCCCCCAGAAAACCATCGTGGTTAATTCTAGTGCAATTCGTCACGATCGACTATCTGACCTGTTTTCATCCTCACCTATCATCTCTCACTGGGGCCCCGCCGGTGTATACCTATAGCGCGGGCGGGGTACCATTCCATTATACTCCATTAAAAAAAGTACAACTGCTTGGTGAGAAAAACACAAGTGGGTCAGAGATACAGCTATTATAGCACAATTATAATTCCCATGTGTTCCCGCCATAAAATAGGCCACTCCTTCTTTTCCCGTAGGTGTCGTAAGAGGCGACTAAGGAAATTTAATAGTCGAGGGTAGTACAGTCCCTCGTAAAATGTCACCAAAGCCTAACTGCGATTACCAGCCCGCCGGCCAAGCGTGGCAACTACTGGCAAAAGCCCCTTATGAAAGAGGCCTATGTTCAGCGGTGGACAGTTAACGGCTGATATGAAGATGATGATGATGACAGTAATAATTACCTCTTCTGCGTGGACGGGAACATTGTCTAGCTTCTCGAGATTCGGTAGATTCCTAAGTACTGTCATTCTGTAACTGAAAACAAATAAAATGCACTTTATATATATGGCATAACAATTCAGCTTACAGCACACAACGGTAATAGAGAGGGGAGAGGGATTATTAGTAATGGGGAGGTTAGTCCTCATTGCTATCAATATACCCTTGTAGCATACTTATAAAATTATATATTTTATTTATTTTGTAAAAACACGCAGACAAGCGTAAATATTTTATATATATATGTAATACGGTCGGTCGCGCACGCAACTTTTTTGATGTACCTATGCGCGCGCAGGACGCGCAGGCGCTCGGCGACTACGGGTTGCGCGCGCAGGCCGCGCATGCGTATATCAAAAGAATTTTGTTGTTGGCGCCACGGCACACACTTATCGTCTTAATATTTTTATATTTTCTATTGTTCTCCTTCTTTACAATTATATTACTATTATTACTGTATTAATAAACGTTTACATTCTACAAATATCATTCTCTCTTAATATCATTTCGCTTTACCCTATCAGGTCGACCTCCACGTGGTTCCCCCTGGAAACTCTCGTGACTAATTTATCGTTGAATTCGTTACGATGGGCTAAGTGACCTGTTTTCGTCTTCACTTATCATCCCTCACTGCCAGCCCACTAGTGTATACCGATAGCGCAGGCCATACCATACCATAGAAGATGAGCTTATTATTCTTAGTAAGTATTTTCAAGTGGCTCAGTACCAAGTGTGACGGGACGGTGCTTTTTGTTATACAACTTAGAATGGCAAACAAGCAGAGGGCGCACGTGATGGAAAGTGGTAACTGTCGCCTATAGATATGAGCAGTGCTATGGACATAATAGAGAATATTGTTTCGCCCATGATACCCCCCAATGTTGCCATTCCTGAGGACTTAGATATTATTCCTCTGTACTCTGTAAATTTACTGCCATATCCCACCCTTCAAACCGAAACACAGTCATGCGAACACAACTGCTTTACGGTTGAAACACGAATGAGACAAAAGTGCCCATGCAAACGACTTTTGTAACCAAAGTCTCCGTCTGGTGTGTGGTTGTAGTGGACTACTAGCAAGCGCCACTAGTGTGCTACTCACTCCGGGTGCTGCGTGCAGGGGTTCTCGTCGAGCCAGAGGCTGGTGAGGTTCGGCAGGCGGCGCAGGTGGCGGATCTCGCTCAGGTCGCGGATCTCGTTCTTGCGCACGTACAGCTCGCGCAGCCGCCGACACGCCGCGAAGTCGCCCAGCGTGCGGATCTTGTTTATACTGCAAGTGCCAGAGAACGAGGTTGAAACAAATATATATTTATTTTATTTTACTTTTTATTTTTGTAACTATGAGGGCTGTCTTTTAAGTTGTATCGTTTGAAATAAGTATAGACAAAGAATTTTCAAAAAATTCTTCGTAATACTTTTACATGCGTTAAAACCAGTTTTTAAAACATTTTGTGGGGGTAGTCAAAATGCCTGATTAGTATGCGTCAACAGCTTTTTTGGGTGAGCTGAAATGTTGACCACGAAGACTGCTTAATTTTGGGGAACGCAAAAAAATCGTTAGAGCTTAAGTCAGGGCTTTAATTTCGTCATTTTGGGTGCTCAAAAACATCTTTGTTTGGCGTGCAGTGCGCGAACTTACATTGTCATAGTGCAGTATCATTCGATGTCTTGAATTGTTTTTTCGAAATTCGGTGATGAGTTGTGGCAAACAAACAGTGGTATACCAATCAGCGGTAACCGTTTTGCGATCTTTTAGTACAATAGTGGTGACGTGATCACCCTTTGCCACAAACGAAGCAACCATTTTTTTCGAAGTGCTCCGTGAGAGTATGACTTTGGTCGGTTTTAGCTCATCCTGGAAGACCCAGACAGTTCACTGCTGCTTATAATCTGGATCATAAACATATATCCAAGACTCGTCATCACTAAACATATCATAAACATACTTTAACTCTCCTCGGTTGAATCGATGCAGAGTTTTGCGACACCAACTAACACGGGCTGTTTTTGATCGTTGTTTTTCTTCGAATGATTTAAGTCGCTATATTTTCCCGGAACAAAAAGTACTTGGCAATTCAAACAATTGTGTATATACAACCAAGGTATTTAGCAATAAAGTTCACTTCCTGCAGGATGTTGCTTATTGTTCACGCTTTCAAATTAGAATCCTATAATCCAACCGATTTAAATTGTCTTCATTCAGTTTAGTAGAAACAAACATCCGCTATCCTCTTAGATTAAATAAATAAATACACCTTTTCACAATTAGTGCAAAAAACAACTTTATCTTATAAAAATAAAGTTCATATTAATAACTGGTATTGGGCCGATGCGTAACGGTCAAACGAACGCGATTGGGCAACGGACGCGCACTGCTCGCCGCTCATTGGGCAATTTTGGCGCGCTACGCTCTAATTGGCCGCGTCCTTGTCATTCGCGTAGCGTAATTTTGGAAACCGGCATTTAACAAGAACAATTAAATATTTCTGAATAGGTTTTCGTAGGTAAAGTTGGTCAGTAAATACTGTTGTAAAATTATATTTGTTTTATTCTATTTCCCAACTTCCTCACGTAGAATTGTAAAAGAATGTTATTACTGACCCGATTTCGCGTCAAATGGTGCAGTAGGTAACCTACATGTTATTGTATACGACGAAAAGAAGCCAACAGCTTGACTTGATAGAAAGTTATAGAGCTTTAGTGGTAACCGTTGTCTATAGACTTTGGTACAAAATTAAGTTTCCACTTTTTCCATTTACCTAATTTTCTAACCAAATCTGCCCAATGGCTTGTGGTAGTGGCACCTTTATGGTGGCGGCTTCTATGCTATAGCCTCTGTAGCCTATGCTTATATGTGCAGAGCTGACACAGTTGCTACCATAGTACCACACATGCAAGCTATTCGTAAAGGCTAATGATTTGAACGATTTCTTTACCATATTCTATCCTTCCAAAACTTCCACGCCAAAACAAAGTATGTACCCGGCGGTAGAAATATAAGTGAATACAGGGAAACCTATGCAGACGAGTTTCATACAAAATCTTGTACGTGCAAATGTTTAAAATTAAATGCAATTACTTTCTGTTCCTACTACATACACAGGCTACAGGTTCTCTATAATAACTATGGTCTTCTACAACACTCAACACAAATATTTCAACTCGAGGTTAGGAGACTGCTGGTAATGGGTGTCTAACAACCCCATTGCAAGCAATACACCTTATCAGGTCGACCTCCACGTACGTGGCTACCTGTGGAAACTATCGTGGTTAATTTTTGTGGAATTCAATTTTAATTGCCAGCGTATACCTACCGATAGCGCAGGCGGGGTTACTATTCCAAATATAAATTGTAAACAATTTGGAACCTTATTCCGAACAATTTGACCTCCCAAAAGTTTGAAAAGTGGTAAATGACAGTGTCTTTTATGGGCTTGCTTATACTAAAAATATAAATGTACATCAAAACATGTAACAAATATTCGAATAACATTTCGCTTGCATCCGTATGTTAATAATTACTCGTAAGTATTACACGGTCGGCTCTAAACACTTCGTTCGCATATCAATCGTATTTGCATATCCGATTACGTCAGTCGAGACCCCTTACCTTTACTTGTACTAATAGCTTTGCCTTTATCCCATTTATTTGCGGTCGCCGCAGTATGTCTTCCACTGATACCTATCAGCCGTCGTATGTAGGCTTAATCTCTTTTTTTAAATGTAAAAAGATTCTTTATAGCGACGAATTTACGAATGAATGACACGACTGTCCAAAATAAGGAGTCTAATGTTTTCAGGGTTCATGTATGTCAGTTTATTTATTCAATAACTACTTTCTTTTTTTTTATATCACTGAGGTGGCAAACAAGCATATGGCCCACCTGGTGGTAAGCGGTTACCGTTGCCTATGAACACCTGCAATACCAGGGTAATATACGCGCGTTGCCGACCCTGAAGAAACCTCTTTACTCCCTTTTGAAGAACCCCATACTGTAGTCACTTCGGCAGGGAGCTCGTTCCATAACCTGAGTGTTCGTGGGAGAAAACATCTCTGAAACCGCGTTGTACGCAACCATTTAGGCTGTAGGGTATGAGGGCGAACTGCCTGTCGATGGCGAGGTGTACGATAGCAGAAAGTGGCAGTGGGCATCATACTGAACAATTCCTCTGAGCACACCGTTGTACAAGTGGTAGAACACGCAGAGTGAGGCAAAATCTAGCCTAAGACTTAAGAGTTCGATACCGGTACCGATACCGATAAATCTGTTCAGAATTGGTGGCGTAATTACATAATTTAGTAGATTCAAGACCTGCTTCTTAAGGAAGTCGCTTAAAAAATCATACACATACACTCATTATCTTCGTGTGGGTGGGACATGCTCGTATTTTTCGTAACGTACGCAGGTTAGATTCCGAATGCAGCGGAGGCGGCCGAGGACGGGTATAAATCTATTTGTTTATTACCCAACTATGCTTTGCGGTAATAAATCGCATATTTATTGCGTAATCTTTTAAGCAGAAACTTCGCATTACAATAAGAAACATACATAGAACACCGTAAAAACAATTGCATTATTGAGAACGTATGGTAAAAATTGAGTACCGTGTGCTAAACACGCATACAGCCTGACTGAATGGTAAACATTTACTATAATAATGACTCCGGGTTGTGCTTCTGCGAGGAATTAGTCTGTCATCTGTCCTCTTTAAGAATTATTTATTTATTTGCGGAAAAACAATAACTACATTAGTATCGTCATTAATGTACAACACACAGACTATGGACGCCCGCAATAAGTTAAACGTTGCTGAAGACCTCAACATTCTAACTTTATAATTTGGACTAGCGACCAAAAAGTAAACTTTACAAACAAAAAATCAAATGTTTCTTCTTTATAATATTAGTTTATGTAAGCAATATAGATATACATTTTGTCCTGATGGCAGTTTTTGACTTAGAATGGCAAACAAGCTGACGGCCCACACAATAGCAAGTTATAACCGTCGTTTACAGACATGAACAGCACATCTTCACGCATTGCCACTCTAACCGACTGATTCCGGGGGGAAAAGGATTATTAGCAATGAAGTTTGACAGCTCCATTGCCAGCAATATGCCCTATGAAGTCGACCTCCACGTGGTTCCCCCTGGAAACCATCGTGAACAATTCTTGTTGAATTCTAACCTAACACCTATCATCCTTTACTGGTGCCCCGCCGGTGTATGCCGATGGTATGGGTGGAGTTGCCTTTCCATTATCACCCATTAAAAAAAACTGACTGAATCCATACATAGACATATCGTACTCTTCAAACTGAAACACAGTCATGCAAACAGTTGCTTAGCTGCAGAGACACGAGTGAGACAAACATCACACTCAAATAGACGATTTTAATACAAAATGTTTTTATTTATTTACAGAAAAGAATAATAACTATCAGAAATCAGTTGTGCTCCCGCAATGAAGCCATCATATTGTATTGTAAAAATCTTTATTGTACATAAGTCAGATTAAATACTAGTAAATGATTTAGTATACAATGGCGGACTTATCCCATAAAGGGATCTCTTACAGTCAACCTTTGAGAAGCTGAAAGAAAACTGTAGAATGTATAAGGGTAATAACCGTACAATTAAAGATAAACTAAATAATACCCAGTAAAAAAAAAATTTGAATATATAACACAATAAAAACAGCTCTATATACCTACATATGTAAATAATAAAAGTAAATTAATAATAATATAACATTAATAAATAAAAACTTATACACATACACATACATATATACACATATACACACATACATATACATATATATATATACATATATATACATACATACACATATATACATACATACACATACATATATACACTCCTACATACACATACATGTATACATAATAAATACATATATTCACAATTGGCTCAATGAAGAGGGATTTTCAAAATAAAATTTTATGATACCTGCTTTAAAAGATTTCAGCGACTGTGCCATCTTTAAGTTATTAGGAAGTGAATTCCAGAGACGTGCAGCATGTACAGTAAATGACATGGCATAGCTTTGAGTATTAAAACAAGGCAAATCTATAATGAAGTCATTACTGCATCTCAGGCGAACATCAATTTCGCGAAATTTGAATCTTTCCTGAAGGTAATGTGGACATGTTGGATTAAAAAGGATATTGAAAAGAAGAGTAAGAATGTGGACATTTCTCCGTAGCCTGATAGGAAGCCATTTGAGTTGACTGCGATAACTAGATATGTGGTCATACTTTCGAAGGTTATAGATGTATCTAATACATTGATTTTGCAGTCGCTCAAGTTTATCAACAAGCTCCTGTGTGGGATCTAGGTAGGCAACATCAGCATAGTCTAGAAGAGGAAGAAGAAGAGATTGAGCCAGTAAAAGTCTAGTTCCTAAAGGGAGGAAGTTCTGCAGGCGCTTTAAGGAATGTAGTGATGCGTGGATTTTTCGACTTACTTCACCTATATGAGGACCCCATGACAGTGTCTGGTCTATAACAATTCCCAAATTTTTAACAGTAGTGGAATATGGGATTATTTTTCCGTCATAAATAACGTTGGGAACTGTTAAATACCGAAGTTTAGCAATAAAATGAGAACTACCCATAATGACCGCTTGAGATTTATCTGCGTTAACTAAAAGCCCAAAATCCTTCGTCCACTTAGCAATTACGTTCAAATCATTATTAATTACATCTACAGCATTAGTAAGGTTGTAGATGGGAGCAGCAGTATATAATTGCATGTCGTCTGCATACAAATGAAATGAAGAGAGGAGAGCAGACGTAATTCCGTTGATGAAAATTGAGAAAAGTACAGGCGAAAGAACTCCACCCTGAGGGACACCTGCATTAATCGCGCACCAGTCAGAACAACAGTCATCCACACGTACCAATTGGCGCCGGCCAGAAAGATATGATCGGAACCATGCCAGAGCCAATGATGAGAATCTAAATTTGGAGAGAATGCCGAGAAGTACATCAAAGTCCACAGTAAATCTCATATTGCCGGTAGCGTGGAAATTGATTGGTGCGGTCAGCACACGGCGCGCCGCACCCACCACGGCGGTCACACTCGGCACGGTATCTAACGTGTCTCTGGCGCATTCGTGTTGCGGAACAATTATAGTATCAACTCGGTGGCTGTCTGTCTATATGTCATGTATACGTTTCCTTTTGTATTTTTTATACGGCTTGAAATAGCAAATAGCCTGGCTCATCTGGTGGGAAGTGGTAAATGTAAATACGGACATGAACAGAAACAAAATCCCGGGCATCACGGAATACACTAACATTGACTGCAATGGTCATAACTACATATACAAACTCTTTAAACCGAAACAGCCGCGCGAGCACGGCTGCTTGGCGACCGAAACATGAGTGGGACAAAAGTATTTCAACTTATTATACCATAATATATCTTAAGTTTGTCATGAAGAAAGATAGATTACTTACATCCTGATCAATCAAATATGATAATTACAAGGACTTTTTCTGTAATTTATGCTAAAGAACAACTCAGTTTTGAGTGCAACAAAGTTATAAGTGAGAGTAACCTCTATTCCTTTCAAGTAACACTAATGATTCGGAAGAAAAATGAGAGAACACATTTTCCATTGCCTTTGTTAGTTATTCTTACAGGCGAGTATCAAGTTCGATATAATTACTGATACACGTTCGCGACAAAAGCTACGTATACTGTCTAGTGACAATATATCAACCGTTCACACCCTATGTACTCTACAAGTGTATAATGTGTTTATGGGCGCAATGCAGTAGGAGACGGGTCGTGACCTCGACTGATCAACTCTAGATCATTGTCTGATTGTTGGAAACCTTTTAACTTATATTGAAATATTTCCTTTCGATAGAATTCATCCTCACATGTTAGAACTTAAATAGTTGCGTACAGTACAGTGCCTTTTTAAAGGAGTTTAAATCCTTGCCTGCTTAGGTTGTGGAATGGCCTCCCTATAGGGGCTTTTCCAAAAAGGATGCATTACAGTTTTTTTCAGAGTCATCAATGCATACGAACACACCTGATTTGATAAGTGTCCCTAGTAGCCTAGGGACACTTATCAAATCAGTGACCGTGTACCTGACAGGTTTTGTAATTCTTTGCCATCTTTGTAGCAAAAAAACTCTGTAGTAATTTTTTTTTAAATCATTGAAGACAGATGTAACAATTCAGATGGAGAACATTTGACAGTCCAGAGGGTCTAACGCTATCCAGTGCATTTTCGAAAATATTCCTCTTCCCTAAAATCTTTGATTTTCAAAAGGAAGGTCCCTCACCAATAGATGTAGACATTGTCCAGTGGCATTAATATAAGTAGGTATACTATATTCAGTGACCTCTGTGGTGGATGTTGCTTCGCTTTAATTCAGCAAGGTGTCAACATAATTTGAGATTACGCCCAGTCATCACATAAGGTTTATAATGTGTTTAGAAGGCGCGTGCCGCAGTGTCGCAGTACGGCAGACAGGTCACGACCTTATATCGGATCTGCTCTCATCTAGCCAGGAGAATCTTGCGATAAACAACGTGTACAGCTTTAGAGACATTGTAGCCACCTCGTCCTGTATACGATATCGATCCATAACTTCAGTATACTACTTTAACAAATTCTATCTAATATGTTTTTTTTTTTTTTTTTTACTGCGAGTAGTAATCTCATTGTTCTTATTTTAAAAATAATAAATGGACGATAATATTTTTCGTTACATTTATTATTATTTGCACTATATATTAGCACATTACATTTAAAATATTAAAATTTAGAACGCAGAATCATGTTCGATGTAGAAAATACTACTCGTGTGTCTCCCTCTAATGTCAAGAGTTTCTAAGCCACCTTTGTTATACACGACGACTTCTGAAATGACTTTACTAGCTCTTTTAAAAAATTACAATCATGTTAAAATCATTGATCAGTACGGAACAGATCACTTGCCTGAAAGCCAGCACTTCTACATTGGGCATCCGTCTCAGTAGGCTGACGTCTCCAAGTTCGGCACCCCTGCAACAAAAATATTAAGTTTAATTAATGATTAGCGTCAACAAAAGTCAGATTTCTTTTATGATACTTGGAATGCAGAAAACAGCAAACAAACTGACGGCCCAACTGTTGGAAAGCAAACAGGTGGTAATTGTGGCCTTGGTGACAAGAAATAACATTATAATTGTCATGACAGCATAATTTTAAATTTTATTCCAATAAAAGCTAATGCAATTGCACACATAGAAACGTATGCACCCTCGCATTACGTAATACTTACCCATATATGTACGTCCTACAGCATGTACAAATCTTTATAAATTTATAAGTAGTGAGATCTAAATAAAAATAACTGCTTTTTATATATTAGTAGGCAAACAATTATCAGTAGAGCTACTAGAAAGCCTATGTTAATTTCTGTAAGCATATACATGGTAATACGATTCCTGTTTCCTACAGGACAGGCTCAGCCTAGTGTAGGAATCAATGATAAATTCTGTGCTTATACAAACATACTTTGTTAAAAAATGTTTAATAATAAATGTTTACCAGAGGGAGACTTTGTACAAAAGTCGTTTGCTTGGGTACCTCTGTCCCATTCGTGTTTCAACCGTAAATCAGTTGTTTGCATGGCTGTGTTTCGGTTTGAAGGGTGGGATATGGCTGGCATGGCGGGTATCATGTGCGAAACAGTATACTCTGTTATGTTCACGGTACTGCTCATGTCTATAGGCGACGGTTACCACTTTCCATCAGGTGGGTCGTCAGCTTGTTTGCTATTCTAAGTCGTATAAAAAAAATTATCTTTATCTTTAAAATCAGTATAAGGCAACACGAGAGTTTTACACTTTTAATGGTAAAAACTTAAAATATCAAAATCAGCTCAGAATCGGAAGTTAATTGTGCATAAAACGTTTATATGGACCGTCCGAGGTAATGCGGACGATTTCTGCATGACTAAGTACAATTGGTGATATAATAATGTAACATAAACATAAAAATATAGTCGAATTGATAACTTCTTCCTATTTAGTAATGCTTTCAATATGTTCTGTCTGATCAACTTACAGCCTGTCCCTGGAACCATAGTGGTTCATACTCAGTGAATTCGCTTCGATATGTTCATTAACCTGACTTCATTTTCACGGGGAGAGAAATTCTTTCTAATGGGGATTAGTGGCCCTATTGCTAGCAATATATAATGTGCTTCCCGCGGTCTCTCTGAAAACCATCGCTATGACTTTATTATCTGCGCTATTGGTATCCTGCGAACGTATACCGATAGCGCAGGCCGTGTTACTATTACATTATCCATAAACTAATCCAAGTCGAGACTTCCGCAAATTTATTGTTCCCTGGTCGGAATTACAATATGCTAACAACATTAAGATGTTCCACATACGCCACAAGGTCGTCTTGGTTGTTTATTAAAACAATTGACATTCGATGCGCGTGCGCTGCTACACGTATCTGATCACACGAGCGATTGAGGCGGAACAACGATGGATGTAGCTGCTAAAATATCTCTCTTATATATACCCAATTTTTTATGGATGGATAGAGAGAAATATACTTATATATTTATATATATACCTGTATTAATGGTGTACTATTAATGACAAAGTGGAAGAAGAAACAATAAGAATGAAGTATTTTTTTAATAGGTAAACATGGGGGGAAGGGATTGTTAGTAATGGGGAGATTAGTCCCCATTGCTATCAATATGCCCTATCAGGTCGACCTCCACGTGGTTCCCCCTGGAAACCATCGTGACTAATTTATCGTTGAATTGGTCACGATTGGCTAACTAACCTGCCTTTTCATCGTCACCTATCATCCCTCACTGTTGCCCCGCCAGTGTATACCGATAGCGCAGGCGGGGTTACCATTCCACTATCATCAATTAAAAAAAAAAATAGGTAAACATGGAATGGTAACCCCGCCTGTGCTATCAGTATACATTGGCGGGGTACCAGCGAGAGATGATAGGTGGAAATAAAAGCAGATCAGTTAATCCATAATGAGTAATTCCATAAAAATTAAACACGATGGTTTCTAGGGAGAACTGCGTGGAGGTCGACCCAATAAGACATATTGTTAGTGATATGGCTTTTGGATCCTATTATTAACAACTCCTTTCCCCCTGAGAATGAAGTCTAATCAGTTCGCACATTGGACAAATTTAATAGAAATTAACCGATACTTTTCAAGAAGAAGACAGAAAAGAAAATATAATTAGAAAAGACATCGTTTCCTATATTCCAAAAGCGAATGGTACAATATAATTGTACCATAATTGGTAAAATAGTACCATTGTACCGTGGACGTGGAAGTAAAAATCAACGCAGCCAGATCCCATTATCATTAAAGACTAACAGGAGACAATTTCCAGTGGCGCCGCGTGGAGTTTGATCTGACAATACTGCAAGTAATAGGGAGGGAGGACGGGATCATAAACCTGAACTTTACATCGTTTCTATGCGACATAATTAATGGCTTAATGAATGGTTACGAAACTTGGTAAACACATGCTATTTTGAATGGAGAATGACACAGGCTAATTTTAATCATGTATCCTCAACACATCGACGAAGTCAAAAAGTACGGGTCAAATCTTACAAGCGGATCATATAATACAAGTAATATCCTGCCGACTAGAGCCACGCAACTGCTTGTGAGTCCGCATATAAATTGTTTTCACTTTCGCGCAATCTACAGTCGACGACCCGCCAAGGATGACGGTGACTCACAAGTGTTTTGGCATTGAAACTCTTGTTAGGAGATATTGTATAATTGAGTTCCATTCGTAGTAGTAAAATGTAGTCAGTCTGAAACTCTGCAAACACAGCCATTTCAATTGTGATTAAACACATTGATAAGCAGGATGTTCCTTAGAGATATTAAAATAAAAATATTTGAATGTAGAACGCGGAATCTTGCGCCTGAAAGTAGATTTTGGTCCGTCATAAATATTTTTTTGTTAGAACACGTTATGAAAAACAGTACCTTCAGTGGTCACAAAATTAAAACGGGACCATCACGGGAATGAACCCTATCGACTACAAAAAGAACTGAAGATCAGTTTAAGAGATTGACGATGTATTCACGTAATATAGTCACAAAAAATCCTAACAAATTAATTAATTAAACATCTCTTTTTGGAAGTCGTTTTTAATCTCTCAATCGGCTCATTACAGAGGTAATAAATACTTGCTATCCAGATATGGCATTTTAGCATAATACGAATAAGGAAATAACTATTTTGATACTTCACTACGCCGAATTGGCAACGCAGCGAGCGTTGACATTTTCTCTAATAAAACAACTACTATAAAAGATTGATCTACGATCTCATTATCATATTTTGTTGAAGTGCTTCGTAATAACTTTCGTTTTTGGCACCGCCGTCGTTGGGGGACAGGAGAAGGAGGAGGAGGCGGAGGTGGGGGACGGGCCCAACCGGTAAGCAATCAAATCATATAGTCCGTCCGAATTATAACTTTTACTTTCCAACGTTTGAGATGCGTTAGTGTTCAACGCGGCATAATATACATGAAGCGATTTCCAAAAAGCGGTGACTGAGAGTTATGTTATACGATAACCTCCAATTCTGAACCATTTTTTTAAATTATTTTCGCAATCCAAAGCATTTATTCTCGTGTTACTTCCATATTAATTTTATGACACTTGAAGCTGCCAATTTCTTTGCGGACCAAATTGTGTTTGTTGCAAAGTAAAATCTATAGGAACACATGATTCCGCTTTCCAAATCCAAATGTGTTCAATCAATATGTATGAAACGTCTTGTAGTTCGTTGGTGTGTCTTGTGATGGCAGATAAATTTCATTTCATTTCATGATTGAAGTCGATTTTTTTATTGAGCCAAATGTATTTGTACAAGTTTGAACGGGAAAGACGACTGGAAGGAGATGAGAACGAAACAAGCCAAGTTAAAACTCGTAAAACCAATTATGAGCTCTATAATTTAGGTCACATACACATAAAACCATTCCGTCTATTATCCGGGGGTTTGAAAGCCAACATATTGATAAACAGGGCGAGCCCTGGGGCGTGTCGGCTTGTAACATCGCCACTTGTACCCTTGTTTACTTGGTCCATACAAAACAATGTAAACCTTTTACTCATTAAATTACAGAGGAAAATCCAAAAACAGAAGATTTAATACTTACAACCTTTTTCATGTAAATTGTAATTAATCAGAATTTTGAGGGAAAGCATTTTCAGTTATAATACCATTTGAATACGATCTAATTTGGAAGTTAACAATGCAAAAGATTTATCGGTGTCTTCACAAAAAGCAGGGGCCTCTATTCGATGGGTTTTGTACAATTTGGGTAATGGCGTGATAATAGGGCAGCGACCTGTGCTGCTCGGTAATGTATATATAAAAAAGCAATGATGAAAACACGCAAACAAATCGTTCCTAAAGGCTTTCCAAGTATTATATTCTGATATTAATACTACAGACATATTGTCGAGAAGATAAAAGCCGTCGTATAACTGGTGTAATGACAAGTGGCAGGAAAATCAAAAGAAGCCCAAGCAGTACAAGTATAGACACAAGAGCGACAAAAAACGAGATAGATGTAATATAGGTTTCTAATACGTAAAGCGTATAGGTTCCGATTAAGCATAAACCAATTGCGTTAGAGGGATTACCATTCCAATTTCAAAACATGAGAAAATATTATCATTAAATATTAGCGTACTACTCTCACGCTGGTCACACGGCTTACTATAAGAGGACGAATTTTCTATCTCTTACACCTGTGCAGCGTGCTCTGTTTCCTTAGCCGCCACTTACGACATTTTAAGGACATAAATAGAAATCAAATCACAAAATACTTATATTTATTTGTTTTTGTAAAGAATGTTAAACCATGACATCAGCTGATCATTCCAAATTTAGTCGCACTTGTGATAGTTCAAAACCAGAAGTGCTCGCGTGCGGCACGCAACGTACTAATTCATAGCGCCTCGTTAAAGAACTAACCTGAAGA